CCCCCTCTCCCCAGACCTGTGCCCCAAACCAAGCCCTCTCCCGGCAGGACAGCCCCTCGCGGCCGAGACCCCAGCCGCCACCCCCCCACCCCAGCGGCCTGGATATCCTGTGCCAACAATCCCCTGCCTTAACGCCGGGGAGGAGCCTGCGGGGAGCCCCTGTCTCCAGGGAGACGGAGGCAGACGGAGGTGAGGGCCTCGCCGCACACCCCTGGTTGAGTTCACTATAAGCACCTTGCTACGTGAGGGAACAAGGTCACCAGAGAGCAAAAAACGAAACCCCGGAACTGCGGGCGGGGCGGCACCAGAGTCCCCCAGATCGGGGGCCCGTGGAGGCGCCGCCAACGTCCCTCAGATGCAAAGCTCTGGAAATCTCTGGAATTCGTCACCCGTCCTTCAGTTGCTTGGGGGTGCGTACCGGAACCCCACCTCCAGAGGACATTCAGGCATTGGTGACACCTGGCTTTGGTGACACCTCCCTCAGAAGAGAAGATGAAGTGGAAAACTGCTTGCTCCATTGTTTTGCCAAAAAACCGTACAATGGGAAGAGTCAGAAGCAAGGGGGCGCCCCCAGCCGGCTGCTCAGCTCTCCCCATGGGTGACATTTCAAGACTGGCCTGGCTGCCAGATCCCGGGAGGCTGCCTCTCCCCCTCCCCCTCTGGGGTTCAAGATCCTGGGAACCCTCTCTTCTGAACCCTACCCCATGGCTGCCTCCCAGGGAGGGCACCCCCATCCCATCCCCAGTTTCCCTAGAGAATGCAAGAGAACTTTCTAGTGAGAAAAAGAAAAATGACCCCCCACCTGTAAAGGCTACCTCATTGAGCCCACGCTGTGATTCAAATGATCACGTCTGATACCAAAGATCCCCCATCCCCAAGGGTTTGTGCTGGACGCCAGGGTGTCCCCACCCTCACCCCATGGCTGTCCCCCACCCGAGAGAGAGAGAGAGAGAGAGAGAGAGAGAGAGAGAGAGAGAGAGAGAGACAGGAGGACAGCGAGGTCGGTGAGTGCCTTCTTACAGAACCAAAGATGTGTGTAGAGTGTCCTCTGTCCTTAATGACTTGCCGCTCTCCCATGGAAGCAACTTGGATGGATGCTTCTAGAACCTTCCTTCGGGTGTGAGGCAGAATGCTCAGAGTGAAAAGAGTCCCCCATTCCCACTCAGCAAGAAACAGGTCTCTGCCCCCACTACACACAGACATACACACACTCACACTAGCGCACACACACACACACACACACACACACACACACACACACATGCACGCACGCGCGGCTGAAGAGACGGCTCAGTGGTTAAAAGCACCAGCTGCTCTTGCAGAGGACCCAGTCTGGGTTCTCAGCACCCAGTTTCAAAGGACTTGGTGCTCTCTTCCGGCCTTCAAAGGCATCTGCAGCCACCTGCACATACCCATACACGATTAAAAATAAATTTTTTTGTTGTTGCTTTTTGGTTTTTAAGAGACAGGGTTTCTCTGTGTAGCCCTGCCTGTCCTGGATCTCGCTCTGTAGACCAGGCTGGCCTCGAACTCACAGAGATCCTCCTGGCTCTGCCTACAGAGTACTGGGATTAAAGGCGTGCGCCACCACCGCCGCCATCTGGCTAAAGTAAATCATTAAAACACACACATGCTAGCTCCCATGTGAGGACTCAGGCTCTGTCTTCCCACCTCCATGTAGGTACTAAGCCCCTTTCCCTCACACTCCCACATTCCTGATTTATGGCTCCAAAGCTGTCTTGCCCAGTAGACACAGATGACCCATCCTATGACCCAGCAGGCCCAAGACTCACAAAACGAGCAGAGAAAAAAAATGAAGTATGACATGGTGGCTCCCATCTTTGATCCCAGCACTCAGGAGGCAGAGGCAGGAGGATCTCTGAGTTCACACAGCAAGGCCCTGCCTCAAAAGATCTATGACTCAATGTCAAGTTAGAAAATCCCTGAGGGCTAGGATCACAGGCATGCACCGTCCTTCAGATGAGTTGTGTTTGTCTTTTTCTTTTCTGTTTTCCTTTCTTTTTCTTTTGTTTCTGGTGGTGATAGGGATGGAACCTAGGATCTAGTGCATTCTAGGCAAGTATTCTCCATTGACCACACCCCAGTCCCTCACTGGGGGATTCTAGTTGGGGGCGAACTTTTTCAAATACTATCATGTACACACACACGTACACACACACACACACACACACACGTACACACATACACACGGGCCCTCTCTGGGCCCAGACGCATCTCCATTATCCTCATCTGCCCCATACACCTTGTGGTCCTTACCTACCAAAGATCTTTCCTACACAGGGAACCCACAGTCCAGCACAATTCCTTCAAGCCTTTGACAATTCTCTCTGAAATACCTCAAAATATTTAATGTATAGTTTATGTGCTAAAAACAAAACAAAACAAAAAAAACCTTAGCTAGTTTTGGGATTATGTGACTCGAAGCTTTATACCTTTAAATTATAATTTTGCAAATAATGGCATGTTTATCTCTGACCGGTTCCGTGGGAGACGCATCGAATGTCAGAGCAGCGAAGCCGGTGGTCCCTGGGAGGGTGGGGGGCCGGTGTCCTTCTCAGATCTCCTGTGTACAGGAGTCTCTTAGGAACGAGAGAAAGGCGTGCTCGACGGCTGGACCTTTCCCTGGCTGCTTCTGTTTGCTTGTTTTATGGAGTCGTGTCTTCTGAGAGTATTTATGATTCTATGTGTTCCGTGTTCAAATGTAATTTAAGAAAAAAAACAAGAAAAATGAAAACCAAAGAGGTGATGGAATTTGATTCACAGCCGGTATATTCTGAAGCTGTGACAGGAGGGCGGGGCTGGGTATCACATTCATCCTTGTCCTCCAGGACCGGTTGGTCCTGTCCTGTGGCCCTCTTTCTGTCCGCATTCTAACTCCTTCCTAAGGAACTGTGTCCAAGAAGGTGGCAAGGTCCTGAGTCAGGGAGAGGGGCCCTGGAGCAAGCCAGACCTGAGCACTGTTCACTTCCTTCTTCTCACCCCCACCTCCTGTGTGTCCAGCTTGTCAGAGGGCCACTGACCCCCGCCCCCTCCGCTGCATCTGGGGTACAGGTGGGTGGCTGTGGACTTCTTCCCCTCTCCCACCCAGGTAGGTTTCACTTTAGCACAAATTTTCCAAGCCTCTTCAGAACAGACAACAAAGAAATTCATGAGTGTAGACAGGAAGCAGGATCAGTGCACCCCACTTCCCCAGATGCCGAAGCCTAGTCACCTCTCCTGGGACATCCTCGGCTTCCCCAGGCATGGGGTAGTCCAGCCACTTGGGGACACTGGCAAACAGGGCTCTGTACGCCCCCCTAAGTGGAGAAAGAAGTGGGTACAGGCCATCTTGTGATTCCTGTGCTTTCTGCCCCCTCCCATCCTGGAGGTTTCAAGGAAACGAGCCAAGGGCTAGCTTCAAACAGCAGGCCCCACGTCACAGGACTGGGGTCAAAGGACCGCTCCCGGGGTGCGGGGAAGCGTGATTCTAGACGTTTGGTCTTATTGTCCCAAAATGGTTCAACCAAAGTTCAGCCACCAGGTACAGGGTTTATCCTGGTGGCCGTCAGATCCCCTGAGGGTGGGTGTTGGCAGGTTATCTGAGCCCGGAGCAGTGTGAGGGAGGCCTTCCAAGTATTTTCAGAGAAAAACAGGAAATCAGGCTGCTCTTGGAATCAGTCAAAGGCTCCAGCTGCTAGTGGAAGACTGAGAGCAGCCTTAAGCAGGCCAGCCCCCAGCTGACAGGCAAGAGAAGCTGTCACCATTAGAAACTGTCCCGTGCTGGGTCTTTCCTGGTCATCCGGCCACACATGTGCGTTGGCCAACTGTGGACTGGCACAGATCGGGGAAGAGCAGGGTGGCCCTCTGGGTGGAGGGGGAGACTTGTCCCATCTGCTGCAGAGCGCACCCCACTCGACCGTCCCCAGGTGTACTGGTACTTGCTCCGCCCATGACCTTGGGCTGTAGGGCCCAAAGGAGGACCTCTTAAAAGGCAAGGGACAAGGGTCACATGCCCCTCCTCCCGGCTCCTGCCTGTGAGGTGGATTTGCTCCCCCTCAGGTCAGAGGATCTACTCCCTTCTGTATTCGTGAATTCCCTCAATTTATATCTTTTTGTTTTGTTTTGTTTTTTGGTTTTTCGAGACAGGGTTTTTCTGTGTAGCTTTGCGCCTTTCCTGGATCTCGCTCTGTAGACCAGGCTGGCCTCGAACTCACAGAGATCCGCCTGGCTCTGCCTCCCGAGTGCTGGGATTAAAGGCGTGCGCCACCACCGCCCGGCAATTTATATCTTAATAAATCCCTATGCCCATTTAATAGACTCACGTGGAGTGACCTTAACGCCCAGGTCAGGGCCGGTCAGCCAGGCCGACCTTGAGATTCGGACCACATCGGGGCCTGCTTCTGAGATCTCTACTTACTGCTTCAACTAAGGGAGGTTGCCCGCAGGAGCAAGGGCGGAGGGTGCTGGGGTACAGTTTAAACCAAGGTAGGTGTGGGGTGGGGCCCGAGGTCTGGCGGAACCTGATCTCTTCCTTTTCTTTCTCAAAAACAACGAAGCTTTATGTGCTTAGAAGGAGGATAAAAGCCAACACAAATATTTTCCTGAAATTAAACTACTTGACCAGCAGGGGTCAGTGTTTTGATGATTTGGGGGTTTGGGGTTTAGGGGTTTGGGTATTTCTTTTTTAAACCTGGGAAGGAATGTTCCCAGGCTTCTACCAAAAGAGTTGGAGAAGCCGTGAACCCAAACAAGCCCTGGGGCCAGAGGGACCCTGTTTTATTAGAAAAGGCAGGGATGTGGTCTGTCTCCTGGCACTCTGTTGTTGACTGTATGCCTGCTCCCGTGGGGACAGGGGGAGCTGCTGCAGCTTGAGCGCTGTGGAGATCTGACTGGAAAGGGCACTGGGGCCCACGCCATGCTCCCAGGTGGCTGTCCCACTGTACCGGATGACGGTCACTCTCCCAGCCATGGGCCTCTGGTCAGCTCGAGTTGTGGCTGTGTTACTTCGTGGGGACTTACAGCTGGCTCTTCGAAGAGGCTGAGCCCTTCCAAGGAGGCCTCCTCCAAGAAGAGGTCCTGACATCCAAGCGCTCCGGCCGGCTGGCCAGGGTGTACTCTGAAGGCACACTGTGGAAGGCTTGGTCATCGGACGAAGACACCTGGAGTGACCCCGACGTGGCGCTTGTGATGGTGGGCGGCTTCCCAGTGTCAATGGGCCGGGTGTCCAGGTTCACAAGGTCCTGCTTCTCCATCTGGGAGCTCGCTAGGGTCTCCTCCGGCTGGGACCTCTTTCCATAGTGGTGGAGTTTCTTCTTAGCCAGGATGGAGATCTTCCGCGGATTAAATATTGACTCTCTGTGGTTGAAGGACAGGTTCTCTTCAGATGGGTTCGGGGACTCCCAGACCGTGTCCCCACCACATTCTGCCGTGGGCCTGCGCAGGATGGTGCCCTGGGTGATCAGGTCTGCGTAGCCCTCACGGTGGGAGAAGGCGTAGCTGGATCTGCGGGCGGCGGTGCCCCGGCGAAGGTGCCTCACGGCCGGCTCCACAGCCACTTCCTCACTCGGGATCTCCTCCTCCTCCTCCTCCTCCTCCTCCTCCTGCAGAGCCGAGGAGACAACGGGGCGGGGGCGGGGGGGCGGGGGAGTTAGGGTCCCTTGTCCCCCATGGGGAACACACGGAGCTTCCCAACACTGGTCCAGCCAACTGGCATCTGACCTGGAAACAGATTCTGGACCAGCTATCAGTCCTTCACATGGACCTCAGAGACAGCTGGGTTGGTAAAGCCACTTGCCTCCAAAAGCCCGTTGACCCGAATAATCCACACAGTGGTAGTCTACACATGGTAGTCCACACATGGTAGTCCACACATGGTAGTCCACACATGGTAGTCCACACATGGTAGTCCACACATGGTAGTCTACACATGGTAGTCCACACATGGTAGTCCACACATGGTAGTCCACACATGGTAGTCCACACATGGTAGTCCACACATGGTAATCCACACATGGTAGTCTACACATGGTAGTCTACACATGGTAGTCCACACATGGTAGTCCACACATGGTAGTCCACACATGGTAGTCTACACATGGTAGTCCACACAGTGGAACCAGAGAACAGACTCCCAAAACCTGTCCTCTGACCTCCACAAATGTCCCACAGCATGGACCACTCATACTCCCACCCCACCCTCACTACATAAAGAAAGAAATGTGGATTTAATAAGAGCCTTTCCTGGACTCTCCACTGGGCAGATCATCAGTCTTTCCTTGGGACCTGACTGAGGACTTTATATCAGAAAACAAAATTTTTAAAATTTCTTAAACTTGCACGCCTTTAATCCCAGCACTCAGGAGGCAGAGGCAGGAGGATCTCTGTGAGTTCGAGGCCAGCCTGGTCTACAGAGTGAGTTCCAGGACAGCCAGGGCTACACAGAGAAACCCTGTCTCGAAAAACCAAAAAAGGGTTGGGGATTTAGCTCAGTGGTAGAGCGCTTGCCCAGCAAGCGCAAGGACCTGGGTTCGGTCCTCAGCTCTGGAAAGGACTGCGTTAGGGCCGGCCGGGTGGTGGCGGGATGTGGTGGAGGGAGATGTGGCTGGGGGTTGGAAGAGCACTGCCGCTCTCCCAGCACCCACATGGCAGCTCACAGCTGTCTCTAACTCCGGTTCCAGGTGAGCCGATGCCTCCCTCCCTCCCCTGTGGGCGCTGGGCCCTCACATGGATGCAGACAAAACATCCACACACATAAGAAATAAAAAATAAATGAATCATAATTTTCTTTTCAACTGCCACCTTATCCTCATTTAAGGACAGTTTCTGGCTCTAAGCACACCACAAAGTTGTACAACTGTTACTTCCAGAATATTCTGTCACCCCTAATGAAGCCTCATTCTGCTGTGGGATGGTCTGTATGGCAAATGTGTTGCTGATTAGTCAATAAATAAAACACTGATTGGCCATTGGCTAGGCAGGAAGTGTAGGCGGGACAAGGAGGAGAATAAAGCTGGGAAGTGGAAGGCTGAGTCAGAGAGACACTGCCAGCCGCCATGATAACAAACAGCATGTGAAGATGCCGGTAAGCCACGAGCCATGTGGCAAGGTATAGATTAATGGAAATGGATTAATTTAAGCTGTAAGAACAGTCAGCAAGAAGCCTGCCACGGCCATACAGTTTGTAACCAATATAAGTCTCTGTGTTTACTTGGTTGGGTCTGAGTGGCTGTGGGACTGGCAGGTGAGAGAGATTTGTCCTGACTGTGGGCCAGGCAGGAAAACTCTAGCTACAAATGGTGCCCAACGTGGGGCAAGAGTTTCCACCTAAAACCTGAGAAAAGATTCTAAAATGGAGCTAAAAACAGCTTCCTAATTGTCTCTCTCAAATGAGCGGCAGCTGCCGGTTTGAGCTACTGGCGGGTTCCTAGCTCGACCTGCAGTATGGCAGGAATGAGGCCTCTGCAAATGGCACATTAAGCTGCATGGTGGATTTAGCCTTTGCTAGTACAAAACAAAAAAAAAGAGGTTTTTGGGCTACACGGTGCTTGGATAAAAGCATAGAGACCAATGATAGCTCCCAGAGCTGGTGGAAAACGCCATGTTGGGAAGCTGAGGTGGGCAGAGCCAGCAGCCACAGCTGCTGCAGTTTAAGGCAATAGATTCACAATAAGACAGATTCAGATGTAATAGTTTACAATGTGTGTAAAAGATACATAGGCTTGAAAGAGACAAAAAAGGTGATATATAGAGTTATAGAAACAAATACATCGTTTTAAAAAATAAAGTCTTTAAAGAGACAGTAAAGGTAGTATAAAAAATAAGCCACCTAAAAATGGATATTACACAGAGAATCTGGATTGTGTTGTCTTTGGGATTTTTAACTGCAGAAAAACATTTGATTGTAAAAGCTGTTGAGTTGTGCCAAAATGTATATTTTAAAGATACCTTGACTTCAAAATTTGGATGTAAGAACGTGTTGCTTTAGAAAGGAGTCTCTGCTTTTGTTCCCACAGAAAGCCAGAGGCTATGGATTTGTTCCAGATTAAGATACATCAGGTTTGACCAGCCAAGACCCCCTTAAAGGTCTCCGATGACACCATGGCCCAGATGATCCAACATCCAGAACGGTTTGAAGGCAACTGGCTCAGACGATACACCCTCATGGACTACTCCATAATCCTAAAATTTTCTTTGTGTCCCCATAAGATACAGCGCCCCCCTCCAGCAGGAAGTAGTAAGAGAAGCTACGCCCAAATTCCCAAAATATATGTAATTTTACTTTGTTAAGGTTAAAACCTTCCTTTTTGAAAAAAAAAAAGGGGGGGAAGTGCTGTGGGATGTTCTGTATGGCAAATGTGTTGCTGATTAGTCAATAAATAAAACACTGATTGGCCATTGGCTAGGCAGGAAGTGTAGGCGGGACAAGGAGGAGAATAAAGCTGGGAAGTGGAAGGCTGAGTCAGAGAGACACTGCCAGCCGCCACGATGACAAACAGCATGTGAAGATGCCGGTAAGCCACGAGCCACGTGGCAAGGTATAGATTAATGGAAATGGATTAATTTAAGCTGTAAGAACAGTTAGCAAGAAGCCTGCCACGGCCATACAGTTTGTAACCAACATAAGTCTCTGTGTTTACTTGGTCGGGTCTGAGCGGCTTGGGACTGGCAGGTGAGAGAGATTTGTCCTGACTGTGGGCCAGGCAGGGAAACTCTAGCTACATCATTCCTATGAGAGGTTACCTGCCCCCCACAGTCCCCGTCACCCACACTCCACTTCCCACCTCTGGGCTCCCCATCATGGAGTCCCACACTGTGGCATTTGTGTTTGGGTCTCTCACTGACCACGGTGTCTCTGAGGTCCCTCCAGGCTGTGCCCTACTATCATTCTTTTTGGAGCCTGAGCCATACTCCAGCATATGGCTGGGCCACACATGTCAGCCCACGGATGGATGGATACTGGAGCTACTTCCCATTTTGCCTAAACTATTCTGAAGCTACCTGCCTCCCTCCCTGGGCAGGAACCCCTCTGTGTCAAGGAGTACCCTAAGACACACACCATGCTCAGGGATTTGGGCCTCAAGGACACCGGGAGTCCCTGGAGCACAGTGTCTGTGACAGCTGGGAGGAGGGGTCGGTGGGGGCGTCCACAGCTCTGCCTCACCTTAAGCCGCAGTTTCAAAACAGTTTTGCGGATCACACGAAAGGCCAGGACTGGTAGCGTATTCAGGGTCACATTGAGCATGATCACCAGCAGGTTGGCAGGCTGGCTGAGCACATTGTAGTCAGCGACTGAAGACAAAACAGACAGGAGGCGTGAACACCAGCGCCCCCCTCCCCTCAGTCACGGGGCACTACCCCGCCAGCTCCCCTCCTCCAGATGACGAGAGGTAACTGCCTCCTGTCCATCCCCTCCCCTACACAATGGAGGCTCACACAAAAATGGGAAGGTCTTTGGTGAAATCTTGTACAACCACATGCTCTGGGTGAAGCTTGTCATGAGGACGTAGGAGGCGAGGCTGAGCACGATGCTGCCCACACACAGGAGTGTCCAGTACTTAATGACAAGAATAACCTGCACGGGGAGCCAGGAAGTCAGCGATGGGAGGCAGGACACGGAGCCGGGGTTCGGGGAAGTCAGCATTGGGGGCTGGGGAGAGTGTCCGATCTCCAGCACCCATGTGGAAGCTGCTTGCCGGGTGTGACCGCACACGCCTGTCATCCCGGCCAACCTCTGACTAGATGGGAGACAGTGACCAAAATCTGCAAAGCCCACGGCCAGATAGCCTGACCACATACCCAGTTGTGACGGTTTCCTTCCAGATTAAAGCATTTCATGCTGCAGGAAGCTCCTTAAGCAGGAAGGTAAACAACACAAAGTAGCTCCAGGAAGTCCCTGAAACTGACCAAATGCACTAGGCCTCTCCCTCACAGAGTGACCAATAATGTCACTGAGACCAGCAGCCTGTCTGGAAGACACAAAAACCAGCTGGGCTGCCTGAAGAGGTTTAGAACCCAAGTCACTTGGAAAGGCCACTCTCCAACTTGTCATATGCCTGCAGGCTGTGCAGTGTGCCCCAGTTTTTGTGAGTTGTCACCATACTGGGTCGGGCTTTAGTGAAGTCACTTCTGTTCCTGTGAGTGACCCCTCACCACACTCCTGGAAGTGCCCATGAAACACATCGGTCCACCATGCTGGACTTTGGTGGATCTGCACTTTGGTCTGTCGTGGACTCCCTGTCTGGGGTGGGGAGACTGGTGTATCGTGTGTCCCCAGGAGGTCTTGTCACATAACAGCAGCAAAGGACAAGACTACGCCTCAATCGAAATCAGTATCCAAGGGAGTCCTCTGACTTCCACAGCACGTGTCCACACAGGCAGGCACATACCACGCACATTCTAAAAGCATTCTTGAGTTGAGCACGATGGTGCACACCTTTAATCCCAGCTATCTGAAGGCAGAGGCAGGTGGATCTCTCTGAATTCAAGGCCAGCCTGGGCTACAGAGTTTCAGGTCAGTCAGAGCTGCATAATGAGACCTCATCTCAAACAAACAAACAAACAAATGAAGAAAAAGGTAAGGAGGAGAAGAAAAGACACAAAACACAAGACACCCAAGACTTTTTAGAGGGTGGCCTGAAGGGAGGGCTCAGCAGTTAAGAGCCTTGCTGCTCTTGGAGAGGACCTGAGTTCAGTTCCCAGCTGTGGGGATAAAGCTTGCCTGGAGATCAGAGTGTGGAGCTAGCCACTAGTTAGCTGTAGAGGCCAGACAGTGGAGGCTCACACCGGTAATCCCAGCACTTGGGATCGCATGCCTTTGATCCTAGTACTTGGGAGGCACACGCCTTTGATCCCAGAACTAGGGAGGGGGAAACAGGAAGTGGCATGGCTGGACAGAGAAAGGAGTATAAGGCGGGAGGAGACAGGCGCTCAGCCCTTTCAGGCTGAGGAGTTGGTGAGGTGAGAGGTGGCTATGGCTTCCTCTTTTGTCTCTCTGATCTTTCAGCATTTACCCCTAAAAAAAAGAAAGAAAGGAAGGAAGAAAGAAAGGAAGAAAGAAAGAAGGAATGTAGAAAGGATGGGATAAAGGGTGAATTATTGAATCTACTCTGAAAAAAAAGGGGGATATAGATAGGATAAAGGGGTAGATTATTGAATCTACTTTTTTTTTTTTTTGGTTTTTCGAGACAGGGTTTCTCTGTGTAGCTTTGCGCCTCTCCTGGAACTCACTTGGTAGCCCAGGCTGGCCTCGTGAATCTACTTTTAAAAAGCAACTACTTGTTTTAAATAATTTTGCATTGATATGGACCTTTGTATATTGATACAAAGTTGAGATTATTTTTATTAGAATATACAGTACATACATTTCTAATCTTGTTCAAGGCATTGTACCTATATATCTCATTTAACAATGTAATGCAAATTGCTAGTCATTGAAAGTTATTATTACAAACTATTTAGGATAATAAAGAAATGAAGGTTAATAGTTAGTCACCTATTACAATTAAACTTGCAGTCATGTTAGGTATGTTTTCAAGGTCAAACAGATATATTTTAGGTAGACAGGTGATCTTCAAACACTTCAGAGATTTACAGAATATGGCATTTAAACTGTTTTAACATAGTTTTTTTTTTTTTTTGACAGTGAGCCATGTCTACTCCAGGCAGCACCAATCTACTTCAGAGAAGATGATGGGCATAGAAGAAACTCCATATGGAGTTCACTTTCTTTGTGGCCAAAGTTAGTAACTGGGCAAGAAACTGCCCTTGCCTCAATTGCTGACGGTATGCTGTCCAAACGGACAAGCAGGACACAAAACAAAGGACTGCCGAACTTTGTCGAGACCAAGTAGGAAGGCCCTTCAGGAAATCCTGCTCCACAGAGGAGTCTGTCAGATATACCAGGCCTGTAGGCCGAAGATGGATGCCCCAACACTGCAGAGGAACCCTGGGTGACTGCCAGGCAGCTGGCCATTTCTGTCATTTCTCACATATTTTGGAAGTCCCTTACGTGCACTTTCTCCTTCTCAGGTCTCTGATGGAGTTTATAGTTATAGTTTTCCTTGTTACCAGATTCAGAAAAGAAATTCACTAAAGAGGTGTAAAGTGTATAAGGTTGAGAGACATTAAATATATCTGGCTCCCAGTTTTTATTATTAAAACCAATTAGGATTCATGCTCCACCCAGCACCCATGTCAGCTGGCCCACAAGCACCTGTAACTCCAGCTCCAGGGGATATGATGCCCTCTTCTGGCCTCCGTGGTCTACTGCATGTGTACGTGCACACGCGCGCGCGCGCACACACACACACACACACACACACACACACACACACACACACACAGGAGAGAGAGAGAGAGAGAGTTAAAATGAAACAAATCTGTTTTCTGAGACAGTGTTTCTCTCTGTAGCCCTGGCTGTCCTGGAACTCTGTAGACCAGGCTGGTCTCGAACTCACAGAGATCTGCCTGCTTCTGCCTCCTGAGTGCTGAGATTAAAGGTGTGCGCCACCGCCCTGGCAAAACAAGTCTTTTTCTTTAAGAGGATTGAGTAAAAAGTCAGTGTGAGGCAGAGGTATCCATGGTTTCTCAGGAGTCATGGTTCCACCTACCTCCATGGTGATAGAAAGCAGCCCAGATATTGCCACCAGTACCCCAAGGGACTGGTAGTCACTGGAACTGCCAGACTTGGAGATGTCATGGCTGACCAGCACCGGTACGAAGAAGTTGATGATAGATGTGAGGGCGCCGTGGACAATGGCTTGCAGGAAGATGCTGTAGTTGAACAGCTCATCTTTCTGGCCAGCCACGTACAACTTGGGCATCTTTAGGCTCTTCTCAGCAGTCACGTCCTGGACAGGAGGCAGAGGCTCTTAGTGGGGTCAGGAAGTGGTGGAGTCTGCAAGTAGGGCTCAAAGAGCGTCTCCAGACGTTCATTCAGCACGTGGTAACGCACTCAAACCAAATGGCCCAATTTTTTTCCCACCAAAATAAATAAGTAAATATGTAAAATTTAAATGTGGGATAGACTCGAAACCCTTGTCTCAGTCCCACCTGTCCTCTCTGGCAGGGTCACTCTGGGTCGTGAACGGGAGGAACAGCAAAGAGCCTTCCTCTGGAACCCTCTTCCCATTACACAGAAGGCTGGATAGAAGACCTGGTTCTCAGGGTGCCAGAACCTCTCCAGCCAGAGGCCCCCCTCCCGCAGACCCCATGAGACAGAGCTCTGGAAAGAGCAGGTGGTCTGCTGGGTGAAGAGAGACAGGACACAAGACCTGCCTGGCACTCACCTGCTCAAACAGACCGATGTACAGGACTGGGAGCGTGGAGTACATCAGGTTAAAGAGAGCCAGGAACCAGCCTTCATACAGGGGCTGCAACGGAGACCAGACCTCACCAGGGGCCCCGCGGCCCGCGGCCGGCCGCCCGGGACAGGCGGCAACAAGGACAGACGTCCAAGTCTGGCACTTTAGAGGTTCTACAAGCCAGTGGAGAGAATGAGCTTCTAGACTCTTCTAGAATGGCATCAGGTTTGATTCTGACTAATGGAGCTAGAAGAGACCCAGGAAGAGCCGGCTCAGCTCTTCTCTTGATGCCAGACCTGACTGAGCTAAGAATAAACACCAGGAACCCAGAGCCTGAGCACCCCAACCCTGGGGAGGCTGATGCAGGAGGATGTCCAGCCTGGGCTACAGTGCTCACCTTGCACTCACAAAGCCTTGGGTTTCACCCCAGCACATGTACTCAGCGGGGGAGCCCCCAAGGCTCTGTGCACAGTAGGTCAGCACCCCACCAACTGAGCTACAGCCCCAGACACTCACTCTGTGTTCTGAAACAGGTCTAACAACAACCTAGCTCTATTTTATTTTATTATTTTGGTTTCTCTGTGTAGCCCTGGCTGTCCTGGATCTAACTCTGTAGACCAGGCTGGCCTCGAACTCACAGAGATCCACCTGCCCTCCACTGCCGCCCAGGCTTTACCTTGAACCCATGGTAATCTTCGTGCCTCATCATCCTCAAAACTGTCATGATAGGGGTGCACCACCACACCTGATCTGCCCAGGTAGTCTTGTACTAGTGGCAATCCTCCTGCCTCAGCTTCCCTAGTGTCAGGATGACAGGCAAGGGACCACGCATCCTCCCGCGCTCCCCACACACACCTGTGCGGTGAAGCCGTTGAACAAGGAGAACCAAATCTGGGCCATCATGCTCGCCACCGTCTTGTAGAAAAAGTAACGCAGGAACTTGCAGACGCGCATGTAGGACCAGCGTCCATGCACAAGGAGCAGCCGCTGCAGGTAGCAGAACTGGGCCAGCACGTAGTCGCTGTTCTGAACGGCCTGCATGCCCTCCTGACCCGCGAGGCCCACGCCGATGTCTGCAGCTGCAGGGGCCACGGCAGCCGTTACCAGGCACCCTGGGCCCAATCCTCAGGCTCCACCCCCCAGGCACACCCCCAGGCACACCCCCAGGCACCCACTCTTGATCATGTTCACATCGTTGGCTCCATCTCCGATGGCCAGCGTCACCACCTGCTGGTATTTCTTCACCAACGCCACCACCAGGGCCTTCTGCTTGGGTGTCACCCTGCAGCAGATGACAGCCTGGCATTTGGAGGCCAGGTCTACAAAGGCCCTCTCCCGCCGCTCTTCGAGGCTCTCGCCAGTCTTGGGGGTGACTGACGGGGATGGTGCCAGGGAGGACCCAAAGTTTCGAAACATCTGGGAGATCCTCCGCGCCTGGAGAAAGTCCATCCTAGACATCACCGGCTCCTGGTCGACCTCATCCACCACCGCATTCTGGACCAGAGCTCGGGGCTCCTTGCGCAAGGACAGGAGCAACTGATCCTGGGTGTCCGAGGTGGGAGACGGGATGGGGAAGAGGGGGCTTGGGTCACTAGGCCCGCATCACTGTCCTCGGCATGTCCCCCACCCCAAGTTTCACCAGCCCGACTGCCCCTCGCCCCCAGTGACACTCACCAGGAACTCCCCATTGATGATCAAGGCCATGTTGTGGTGGGTCATCATCTTGAACGACCTGTGCTGTTCGCTTTCGTTCCAATAGTTGTCCAGTAAACGCCTGTTGGGACATGGGATGGATGGAAAAGTGGCGCCATCGTCCTACCCATGGGACGGTGTGAGGGTGGCAGGGAGGCCGACCTGCTTACTTGATGTCCTTATCTTCCATAATGATCATGTTCTCCGACAGCAGCTTGCACGCGAAGCCGATGTTCACCGCAGTCTCTGCAAACCCAGCCAGGTGCACGCACTTGGGCTCAGCGCCGGATCCAGGAGCCCCGCCCCCGCGCCCGGAGGCCCCGCCCACCACGGAGGTCCCGGTTCCTTGCGGCCTCCTCCCCCCACCTCCCGGCTGGCCGCAGTGATTGGTCCGGAGCGGATGCTGTCATAACAGGGCTGGCCAATCATTGGGAGGCCTGGGACTTCAGCCGCTGGGCCTAGGGAGTCTGAAAGGGATGCGGGTGCGCGAGATACCAGGGAGCTGGGATAGAGTTGGGATCCTGAGGCCCACCACACTTTGAGCAAACACAAAAATGTCAAATTTATTTGAAAGTCAGAAGCAAAAAGTCAAAAAGAAAACAAACTGAAAACAAAACAAAAAATAACCAAAAATTTAAAACTCAAAAATTGTCTATACAAGGGTACGAGGGAGCGCCTCAACGCTGACCTGGAGGCCCACAGGAGGCCACCTCAGGGCAGGTGTGTGAAGGGGTCCCCACCCGGCTGTGTGATGGTCACGACGAAACTCTCCCGGAGCACCGGGGTTGCGCGAGGCACGTGTCCCACTCCTGGGGACAGCGCTGAGGGCGCTGCAGCCGGTGGGACAGCGACCCAGGTGCGGCAGAGCCGGGGACCCACCTGGCTTGTCCCCGGTCAGCACCCACATTTTAATGTTCCCCTTCTTGAGGCAGTTGATGGTCTCAGGCACGCCGTCCTGCAGCTTGTCTTCAATGGCTGTGGCTCCCAGCAGCTGGGGGGCAAGCACAGGGTTAGACCACAAGACCCAGGTCCAAGGAGCCCAGCCGGCCGGTCCCCACCCTGCCGGTCCACCCACCTGGAGGTTCTGTTCCATCTTGTTGTACACCTGGTGCAGGGCCTGCGCACGGTTCTGCAGCAAGAGGGCGGCCTCCTGGTGCTCAGGTTCCCATTGTTTATAGGCATCCTCCGCCACCTCCTTGTAGGCCAGGCACAGGGTGCGCAGGGTCTGCTCCGCGAAGGCCTGCGGCAGCCGGACTATGAACACCCGACCACCAGTCCTTAGGGTCCTGCTTATCCCCAGGGTCACCAGCGCCCTCGTCCCTCTGGACCTTTGCACAGGTGGCACCCTCTCTGCTAATATCCTCCCCATGCATGGCTCAGACAATTCTTTCTTTCTTCCTTTTTTGGTTTTCCCAGACAGGGTTTCTCTGTGTAGTTTTGGTGCCTGTCCTGGATCTCACTCTGTAGCCCAGGCTGGCCTCGAACTCACAGAGATCCGCCTGGCTCTGCCTCCAGAGAGCTGGGATTAAAGGCGTGCGCCACCACTGCCTGGCTCCAATTCTGTCTTGAGACTTGATAGCCCAGGCTAGCCTGAGTTCCTCACCCTCCTGCCTCAGATCTCCAGAGCTAGGCAGGTGTGTGTGTCTACACTCCGGTCCCCCCCCCACACACACACCCTTGTAATCCACCCACCTCAAGGTCCCGGTTCCAGGACTCCTCCTAACATCACCATGGGGAGGGGACACTTTTGACCCCAGCATCCTTCAGGGTTCTCCCTTTCAGGCCCTTGGGCAGATTTGAAACATGTTTACTCCTGAAGGCCAGGGAAAAGGTGCCTACTTGCTTCTCATGTCCCTCTATCCCATAAGGGCCCCTGGAACTTTGACCACAACTAGTGGCTGACTGGGGTGGGGGGTCGGGCTTGACTGTCAGCTGGGTCTCCATTGTGATGGACACCTCAGACAGGTTCTTCACTGGACCTCAGTTTACCCACCCACTCTATGGAAAGTTGATCCATCTGATTGAGCCCCTGGACTCTGGGTCTTCATTTTGAAGGACCTGAATGCCCTCTCCCCACAGCAGAGAAGGGCACCTGAGAACCCTCAGCAAAGCCCTTGGACACACAGACACTCCCGGCCCTGCAGGTTAGGGACTGAGGGCAGGACAGCTCTGAGTGAGAGAGGGGCCTGGAGGGGGTTTATGGCTGTGACTGGAAGATTCAAAGAATGACAGACAGAGCCATCACCAGAGCGTGTGCAGAGGTCCACCTGCCGCCTGAGCTCAGAGAATGTGCAAGTGTTGGCGGGACAGCGGGGACAGCCCAAGGGACACAGGCCATCGGGAGTCAAGACACATCCTCCAGCACTGAGTCAAGGAAACCTGGAGGCCAGCTGAGGTTGGGAAGGGACCAGGTGAAGGGGGCATCTGAGGTCGAGCCCAACCCACCCTTGGGGTACCCCTGTGTGAAGTAGAAAGACACTGAAGAGTTCAGCACCTCTCGGCTTCTGTGTGGGTGGGGGTGGAACAAGGTAAACACGCGGATGAGCAACCTGCCCAAACGGAGGGAAGGCCTCAGTCTGCACCCGCTCACACTGGCCTCTCCCAGCAAACTTACAGCCAAGACTTCCTCTGTGGTGGCCTCCATGACACCCTTCTTGTGAAGACGCTCCAAGATGACTGTGTCTGCACCCTTGGTGTAGAGGCAGATGGAACCCTCTGGGTTTCGGACTGTGGGGGGAGGGTAAGGCCCTGATGTCTGCTTGCCCACTGCTACAAGGCACAGGGGTGACAGGGAGGAGCCTGGGGCTCACCCAGCACTGACATCCGCTTTCGAACGCTGTTGAAATCCATCATGGCCAGAACCTGGTAGACCCGTTCCTCCCCCAGCTCCACCAGGGTGATGGTGTCCTGGGTCCGAGACAAAAACACGTATCCAAAGTTCCTGGCAGCGGTAACCAGTGCTTCTTCATCAGGGGAGGCCGCCTGATACAGCAGCTGATCTGACCGATAAAGGGGGGTGTGGGTAAGAAGGGGTGAAGGGTGTGGGTAAGAAGAGGTGGGGGGTAGGGTGAAAGGGAGTGGGGTGTGTGGGTAAGAAGGGGTGAGGAGGAGGGGCAGGGGTGAGGAAGGGTGAGGAGGGGCGAGGTGAGGAGGGGCGGGGTGAGGAGGGATGAGGGATGAAGAGGGGCGGGGTGAGGAGGGGTCAGGAGGGGCGGCCAGCCATCTCCAGCCCCTTAGACAGGCTCGCACAGCAGACCCTAACTGCAGCTCCCAGGCGGAGGGGCGTCCGGCCCTGGTGACCCCGGTGGCCCCGGACGCCGCCCGCCCGCACTCACTGTCTTTCTCCTGGACCATCACGGTGTGGCAGATGGCCAGCAGACGCCAGAACTCCTGCACTGCCCTGTCCTGCTGGCCTCGCACCAGGGACTCCAGCTCCTTATTGTAGAACTGGAGTTTGCCGTCGGCGAACAGGTTCCAGGCATAGGGGTTCCGCTGGGAGACGGCGGGGTGCAGGCAGGCAGGGTCAGGCCTCTGCCACACACGCCATCCAGGCCTACCCACGCTGCTCCACCGAGGCAGGGTCCACAGGGCTCACCTTTCGGAGAGTACCATGCTCATCATCTGAATCTGGGGAAAGAACCAGCTTCAGGATTCGCCCCCCCCCCCGCCCCGAGGCCACACTTTTGGGATCCCCTGGCTCCTGCCCCTGCTTCCAGGGGACACGTTACACATTATTACCGAGCTAGGGTTCTGAGTTTAGGTGTCCGTTAGGAGACCCCCTAGGGCAGCCTCACTAGGAAGCTGTGGGGGCGGGGCGGGGCGTCACCGTAGACGTGGCCGTTGATACAGCACTTCTTGAAGGTCATGATGTTCTGTGTCAGAGTCCCGGTCTTGTCTGAGAAGATGTACTGCACCTGACCCAGCTGGTCGTTGAGGCTGGTGCTGCGGGCCTTGGCGGGCATGTCCAGGGGCTCGTAGTACATGTTGAGGTCCCAGTTGATGAAGAAGCTGTTCCCCAGGTAGATGAACTCGGCACTGCAAAGGGCCCAGGCCATGCTCAAGTCAGGTTTGCTCCAAGTTCACACCCTGTGGAGAGGGACCCCCAAGGCCTGCCCAGGAGCTTACATGATGAACATGGCCATGGGCACCATGACGCTGAGCAGGATGAGGAAGCCCCAGAAAATGAAGAAAACCTCCATGGCCTCCGTGCGCTGGTGCAGCGCCGACACGTAGTAGTGTTTGCCTTTGAATTCTTTCACCGTGAAGGTGAAGCCCAGTGCTAGCAGCAGGGAGCCGATCACCAGGGACACGAAGATCTGTGAGGTGGATGGAGACGGGTGGGGGCCTGCACATGGGGTCCAGCAGACATGGGGATTCATCCAGGAGGGGCCTGGGGTAAGGGAGGGCAAGAGGGCTCTCTCGGGGTCCTAGTCCGGCTTCGGAGCTCTTTGTCTTTAATCAAAACTGGCCTCTGAGTCCTGACCTCCTGCATGAGGCTACCACAAAACATAACACAAAGGAGCCCAGGGCGGGTCTGTCACCTTAGTGCTGGGTACAGGCGGGGGGGGGGGGGGGAATGGAAGCTCAACATTAGCCCAGGCTGTGTACAGCAATAAAAAGAAGCAGGAGGCAAGGGGGGGGGGGGGGTGAGGGGGCAACAGGGATCCAGGGCGTCTGCAGAAGAGTAGGGTCATCACCTCACTCTTCAGGGTCCCCCAGGCTCTCCTGGACGCCTTACCAGGACCACCAGCTTGTTCATCAGCAGGTCCAGCTTGGTCCTCTTCAGATGAATCTTTCCACAGTTCTTCATGATCTTTGTGTCTAAACCTGCAAGATTTATTTCCATCTGTCATATACCTGCACACCATTCAAATGTCCACCCATCTATCCATCCACCTATCTATCCATTCAGTCATCTGTCCATCCATCCATCCATCCATCCATCCATCCATCCACCCATCCATCCATCCACCCATCCACCCACCCATCCATCCATCCACCCATCCACCCACCCATCCATCCATCCACCCACCCACCCACCCATCCATCCACCATCCATCCATCCATCCATCCATCCACCACCCATCCATCCACCATCCATCCATCCACCCACCCATCCATCCACTCACCCATCCATCTATCCACCCATCCATCCATCCATCCATCCACCCATCCATCCACCCATCCATCCACCATCCATCCACCCACCCATCCATCCACCATCCATCCATCCATCCATCCATCCACCATCCATCCACCCATCATACATCCACCCATCCATCCATCCACCCATCCATCCATCCACCCATCCATCCACCCATCATCCATCCACCCATCCATCCATCCACCCATCCATCCATCCATCCACCCATCCATCAATCTATTCACTCACCCACCTGTCCATCCTTCCTTTCCTCTACACAGCAACATTTTATTTTCTCAGAGACAACCAGAGTGTTGACCACTAGTCTATCTGACAATACCCAGGGCCCATATCATGCAGGCTTTGGGGTCCCTCATCAACTTCAGGGTTCTCCCTCAGTTCCCCAATCCAGAGGCCCATGCGCTGTACCAGCGTAGATGACCAGGCCGTAGCAGGTGTCTGTGTTGCGGATCTTGCAGCCACGCAGGAGGAGGTTTCCGATGTCCAGTGGGTACTTCCTGCTGTTCCACTCCAGGCTCCCCACAAAGTCATGCATCCGGCTGTTGGGCTCCTCACACGTCACTGTACCTGTGGGACCCGGTAAGCAGCAGCCACACGGCCTCAGCATTGGTCCCAGGCCTGCGGCTTCCTGCCACATTCCTATCGCTACCCAACTCAGGCCACCCTACTGGGTCCACACTCCCTCCTGGCACCCCAGCACCATCTCTCAGCTCCCTCTGAAATGCTCCAAAGTCGACCATCATGGCCTCAGGACTTATGCGTATTCTGTTCCTGCACCCAGTCACCCTCCTCTTTCCAGCCCCTTCCCTTGCGGCTGAATCTTGGATGAATGTCGTTGCAGTGTTCATGCCTTCAATGACATCAGTGTTTGTGAACCGCCCCTCCTCAGACATCTCTGTGACCTTCACAGGCCTGTAGAGAGATGGTCCACAGCAGGCAGGAAGACAGCCCTGCTCAACGCAACTCAGCAGCCAGTGCTCACTCAAACTTCTGGAGTCTTACCCCAAGTGATTTATTTTAGGCATGTTTAAGCATGGCACAATTTGGTGAAAATTATTCTAATGATGATTAACTCAATCCTCTGTGCACAACACTGCACACATAAATACCCCCGAGGAACAAGATGGGCTTACATTGGAACTCTTTGTGAAACCCATAAAGATATGTTCTAGAAAGGTAATGGTGCACGCCTTTGATCCCAGCACTTGGGAGGCAGAGGCAGGTGGATCTCTGTGAGTTCGAGGCCCGCCTGGTCTACTGAGCGAATTCCAGGACAGGCACCAAAACTACACAGAGAAACCCTGTCTGAAAAACAAACGTAAGATTCTTTTTAAAAATCAGCCAGGCGGTGGTGGCGCACGCCTTTAATGCCAGCACTTGGGAGGCAGAGCCAGGTGGATCTCTGTGAGTTCAAGGCCAGCCTGGGCTACCAAGTGAGTTCCAGGAAAGGCGAAAAGCTACACAGAGAAACCCTGTCTCGAAAAACAAAAAAACAAAAACAAAAACAAAAAAAGATTCTTTTTAAAAATCAACAAAATGGGGCTGGAGAGATGGCTCAGAGGTTAAGAGCACTGACTGCTCTTCCAGAGGACCCGAGTTCAATTCCCAGCAACCACATGGTCTGTATACATAATAAATAAATAAATCTTTAAAAAAATCAACAAAATGAAGAGAAGATAAATCTGAGGACTTGGCTGCAGCAGAAGGCAACCTCACCCATGATCCTCTGCTGTCTTAAGAGCCCAGGGCCTAGTGGTCATGTGTGACCCATCGGGGGACAGGCACAGAGGACAGGCAGGGTTCAGCACTTTCCCTGGAGCCCAGACACCTAAGGGTGTTCAACATGAACAATATCTTGGGGCCCTGACTTGTTGACCACCCAGCATTCCAGCAGGGGGCAGCACTGTCCTTCAGAGGAGGAGACCCAAAGATCAGGGAGGCTTGCACTGGGATGCTCTGCCACCCCCTCCCCCTCCCCCACACGGTCTACTCCGGAACTTTCTCCTCCTCACCTGACACACTAAAGAAGCGTGTACCATGTGCCAAGTGCTAGACCCTGTAGGCCCTAGGGTCACTGCATGATGGAGGCTGGAGGAGGCACAGGGGTCTTGTGCTCACAGATAAGCCCCAGGAAAACCTGGATGTGAAGCACATAGGTTCTTCCTTCAAGGGAGTGAATGCAAGTCCTGTTCTCCGCCCAGAAGACTGGAGCGTACATGCTCACCAGCGGTGACCTTTGGGCTCTCTGGCCAGAGACCACACTGAATCCCCCTCCCAACCCTTACTTCAACTGTCTTTTCTTAGCCAAGCTATAGAATGTATCTTCTGTTTTGTTTTGTTTTTGGTTTTTCGAGACAGGGTTTCTCTGTGTAGCCCTGGCTGTCCTGGAGCTCGCTCTGTAGACCAGGCTGGCCTCGAACTCATAGAGATCCTCCTGCCTCTGCCTCCCCAGTGCTGGGATTAAAGGCATGTCGGACCTTAAATTTTTAATTACACATCTTTGTACAGGTTTGGACACATGTGCAGGAGCCTGTGGAGCCTAGAGGCTCTGGATCCCTGGGGCTGGAGTTACCGGCTGTAGTCAGCTAGTGAGAACCACACTCAGGTCTTCTGCAAGAGTAACAAGTGCTTTTAGCCTCACCAGTCCTCAAACCTGGGATCCTCCTGCCTCAGCCTCCTGAGTGCTAGAAATTTTGTTAAGTTCTAAAGAAGATTAGAGAAACCAAGCCAGTGTGCTGTGGCTTGAGAGAACATGCATGTCGACATCACTGAGAGCAAATTGCCTTTGCACTAAGACACGAAAAAAATAAAACCTCTTAATCGGCCTTACAAAACGACCGTGAAAACACCCGTGACTGCTTGCTGAGCAACAGCAAACCCCACACCAGCCCGGGAACATTCCTGTGGTAGGGAAGGAACTGCGGGTGTGTAGGGTGTAGGGTGGGGGTCCCTTCCCATGGTGGCAGCATGGTAGAAGGGCCACAGGCTGGCAAAGGCACAGGACTGGCGCTGAGCTGTGCGGGACCCCACCCACCATCCATCCTGACCCAGAAAAGAGGCGTAGAGAGGCACACAGGGCCCCCATCCCCTCACCCTGGAAGGAAGCCATCTTCTTCGGGCTTGTCAGCTCATGGTGCGTGACCGTCAGAGCCTGTCTGAACTTCAAGTTGGTCTCTCTGGGGACAAGAGCGGGGTGAAAAGTCATGGAAACGTGGCTGTGGATGACACCCTGCAGTGAGAAGCCGTACGCCCTCCAGGCCCTTGACCACTTTTGCTGAGCACCTACTGTATGAACAGAAGATGAGCCCAGAGAGAGAGTGCGCCTCGTCTGAGGCCACACAGCACACCTGCCCATGGGTCCAGGTTGGGCCTAGGCCGTCTGGCCTGGGTACAGACACACTGGTGCCTGAAGGCTTAACTGGACTATCTGGCTGTATTTAGCCACAGGGGAAGCAGGGTTCCTCTGTCATCCAAGCCCCGAGGGAAGCCATGGCTTCTTACCCATCAATATCTGCAGTTTCCACGTAGCATAGGCTACTGGGCTCTGTGCTGGCCAGCAGGAGCAAGTCAGCCTGGGGTGGAGCAGGGAGGAGTCAGGACTGCTGGAGGGCCCTCCCCCAGGGGCGCTCACGGCGGGGGAGCTCACCGGGACGATGCTGTCCTTGCTGAGACACACCACATCCCCCACACACAGATTCTTCCATTTCTTCCACAGGAAACTACAAGGCGGGATGCGGTGTCATGGCTTGTGCCCCAGGTGCCCAGCTCACTGGACCGCAGTGGCCACCTCTGCTCCTGCTGAGCATCCATCCTGCAAGGCTCAGCTCAGCAGCCACTGCCCCAGGAAACCTTCCCCGGCCTGCTTATGTCCCCACATGGGGTCCATGTCTCCAGCAGTTCTCTCCAGGCCCCCATCCATGTCCTTCTTAGCCTTTCCTCAAGGGGCAGCCCTGTCTCAGCTCCATCATCCACAGAGCCAACTGTCAGGTCCCCATCCCAGAGCCAACACCCAGCATGCAACCCTGGGCTCTGGTCAGACTCAGCTGGGATGTACACTGTGTGTGTCCTGGTCACATATTTTGTCAACTGGATGCCGGAGTCATCTGTGACTTCCAGCCGAGAAAACGGCCCAACATATTGGCCCGTGGGTGTGTCTATGTGGCATTTTCTTGATGAATGATTGATGTGGGGAGGGTCCCGCCTCCCCGCCCCGCCCCGCCCACTGTGGGCGTGGCCCTCCTGGGCTGGTGGTCCTGGACTGTGTAAGACAGCAGGTCCAGCAAGCCCTGGGAGCAAGTCCCTGAGCAGTGTTCCTCCACGGCCTCCGCATCCACCCGCTCCCACCTCGAGTTCCTGCCCGACTTCCCTCAGGGTGGCCGTAGCCGTGACGGAAACAAACCCTTGCCTCCCAAGTCGCTTTTGGTCATGGCATTTACCACAGCGACAGAAACCAAACCAGGACAGTGTGGGAGGAGCTAGCCCCCCAGTGGCCTCCCAGCACGGGTCAGAGTCTCCTTGTCCCAGATGTCCCCCATCCCTGTGGCAGCGGTCAGCCTCACCTCTTCCCTCTCAGGATCTGGCAGGGCCTGTTGTTGATGATCTTATCGCTCCTGTGTCGACCCTGGACCAACAATGAGAGGCAGAGAGCTGGCTGGTCCCCTGTCCCCACTCTGCCCGGTCCCCAGGACAGAGAGGCAGAGCCAGGGGTACCTGGTCACAACGGCTCCCGACAAGCCCAGCACATTCTGCCCCCAGACCCCCTGGGGCACTCTCTGCTTCCTGTGTGTGGTCTGGGGACAGTTCCAGTCTCCCATACCCTGGCCATCGCCAACCGAGCCTCACTCACAATGTCATCCACCAGGTCGCGGGTGGCTCGGATCACAAGGAGGCAGACGAGAGGTGCGAAGAGCGTGAACCAGGGCAGCGTGGAGATCTCAGGGATGCTCTGTGGGTACCAGGAGGTCACAATGGCCTCTACCCTACCCTCCTCACCCTGACCTCCCTTCCTCTTCGGTCCCCTCCAGGGAGCAACCCCAGACCCCTGCCCCCGACCCTTCCTAGACTGACTCCACAAGTCTCCGCAGACAGAGTCACGGCGGGCGGGGCCTGGCTGACTCCTCTACACAGCAGGTGCTCAGTACAGGTTTTGTAATTTGTAATTTGATGGGTAAAAGCAGACCAGAAATGAGGTGCTGGGCTGGCGGGGTGCACCTGAGACACGGCTCGCAGCTGGGAGGGGGCGCCTCCGCTTAGGGCACACCCCTCAGGCAGCATCCAGCCGGGTGGGTGGGGCCGAGGGAATTCTGTGAAGCCCTACAGTTGGCCCTGGGAAGCTAGAGGGTTGTGCCTTCCTGAACCTGCAACAGCGTTTGCTTGCTGAGCTGTCTGAACGTAAAGACTCAAGGCAGCACTTGCTGAGCGCCTGCTGAACACAAGGCCCCAGGGCGGTGTGGGCTGGATACACTCTCCCATGCACCCACCTTCGGCTTTCAGCAGTGCGATGCCCCTCCTGCATGCCAGGGACTGGCGGCTAGCACGCAAGAGGGGAGGGAAGAGGGGCTTTCGCCCACCACACAACCAAGAGCGCAAGTCTTCAGAGAGATGCCCCAGCCAAGGCAGCTGCTGTGAGCCTGAGGCCCGCCCCGCCCACACCTCACCCACCAGCCCCGCCCCGCCCACACCTCGCCCACCAGCCCCGCCCCCGCCCCGCCCACACCTCACCCACCAGCCCCGCCCCGCCCACACCTCGCCCACCAGCCCCGCCCCCGCCCCGCCCACACCTCACCCACCAGCCCCACCCCGCCCACACCTCGCCCACCAGCCCCGCCCTCGCCCCGCCCACACCGCACTCACCAGCCCCGCCCCCGCCCCGCCCACACCTCACCCACCAGCCCCGCCCCCGCCCCGCCCACACCTCACCCACCAGCCCCACCCCGCCCACACCTCGCCCACCAGCCACGCCCTCGCACCGCCCACACCTCGCCCACCAGCCCCGCCCTCGCCCCGCCCACACCGCACTCTCCAGCCCCGCCCCGCCCACACCTCGCCCACCAGCCCCGCCCTCGCCCCGCCCACACCTCACCCACCAGCCCCGCCCCGCCCACGCCTCACCCACCAGCCCCGCCCCGCCCACACCTCGCCCACCAGCCACGCCCCCGCCCCGCCCACACCTCACCCACCAGCCCCACCCCGCCCACACCTCGCCCACCAGCCATGCCCTCGCCCCGCCCACACCTCACCCACCAGCCCTGCCCCGCCCACACCTCGATCACCAGCCCCGCCCCGCCCACACCTCGCCCACCAGCCACGCCCTCGCCCCGCCCACACCTCGCCCACCAGCCCCACCATCGCCCCGCCCACACCGCACTCACCAGCCCCGCCCCCGCCCACACCTCGCTCACCAGCCCCGCCCCTGCCCCGCCCACACCACACTCACCAGCCCCGCCCCGCCCACACCTCGCTCACCAGCCCCGCCCCCGCCCACACCGCACTCACCAGCCCCGCCCCGCCCACACCGCACTCACCAGCCCCGCCCCCGCCCCACCCACACCCACTCACCAGCCCAGCCCCGCCCCCACTGCACTCACCAGCCCCGCCCCGCCCCGCCCACACCCACTCACCAGCCCAGCCCCGCCCCCACTGCACTCACCAGCCCCGCCCCGCCCCGCCCACACCCCCACACCAGCCCCGCCCCCGCCCCGCCCACACCGCACTCACCAGCCCCACCCCCGCCCCCGCCCCACCCACACCCACTCACCAGCCCCGCCCCGCCCCGCCCACCTGCAGGATGATGATGATAAGGAAGTACAGATTGGACGTCCGGTGGAACTGCTCAAACAGGTTCAGAGGCAGAAAGGAGAAGACGTTGTACTTGGCTGTGTGGATGGCGTTGCTCTGGAACGAGAGCCATCAGCGGTCGGCATGCGACGCTGCCGGTACCTGGCTGCCGCCTGTGCCTCCCCGCAGGCTCCCAGGAGGCCTCGGCACGTCCGTAAAGCGTACGCCGAGCACACTGAATGCGTGCCTGCAGGCCTCTGGCCAGCACTGAGGGTCTTAGGAAGCACAGCGCTTCCCGTCGGCATTGCTGAGCAGCTGCGAGGACAAGGTCTTGACGGAGCAGTTGAACGCAAGGCCTCCAGCAGGCATTAAGGAGGCCTACTTAGTGCAAAGTTATGGAGCTGAGTGACACTCTGCAAAGGATTGTGGCTACGCCTGGTGGGAGTCCTGAACCGACAGCTGCTGGATTAGCTCACAGGGAAGGAGGTGAAATTAGGGACTTGAAGAGAACAGACATCACTGTCATGATTAAAATAAGGATGGCAGTGGCAGCAATGCCCGGTAGCATAGGGTAGCATAGGCCTGTCACCCTAGCACTCGGGAGGCTGAGGCAGAAGGAGCCTGCCTGTTTGACAGAGGGAACTGAAGGTCACCTAGCATTGGAGTAAAAGGTAAAATGTGTGCTCAGGGGTGAGGCCCCGCCCAGAATCCCCAGTGATAGCTGGGGGCGTGGTCAGGGTGGAGCCCCGCCTAGAATCCCCAATGAGGGGCTGGGGGCGTGGTCAGGGTGGAGCCCCGCCCAGAATCCACAGTGAGGGGCTGGGGGCGTGGTCAGGGTGGAGCCCCGCCCAGAATCCCCAGTGAGGGGCTGGGGGCGTGGTCAGGGTGGAGCCCCGTCTAGAATCCCCAGTGAGGGGCTGGGGGCGTGGTCAGGGTGGAGCCCCGCCCAGAATCCCCAGTGAGGGGCTGGGGGCGTGGTCAGGGTGGAGCCCCGCCCAGAATCCCCAGTGAGGGGCTGGGGGCGTGGTCAGAAGGCCTTTGGTTCCATTGCTAATCCTGCAATAAATTCCCTAGCTCTAGGAAAGCTGAGGCAGGAGGATGAGGAGTTAAAGTGCAGGCCGAGTTACCTAGTGAGCGCTCCCAGGGTGGATCCCGGCACAGCACGGGTCAGGCCCCGGGACAGCTGTCCAGGCGCGACTCACCTTGTACTTCTTCTGTCTCCAGCACAGGAAGCCCTTCTTCCTGACCTGCTTGTGGTAGGCGCGGTTGTTGGCCCTCACCTCCCAGGTGAACGCTGCGGAGAGCGGGCGGGCGACAGGCGCTGCTGGAGCCCCGCCAGGGACAACCGCCAGCAGCGTCGCCCTGGAGCCTGAGGGCTAACAGGCCCCCAGGGGCCGCGGCACAGCGATGCCCATCTCAGGCCGGGAACTGGTAAACACCAGGACTGGACAGAGGAGCCGCTGGGGGCCAACGGTCTCCAGGCTGGAGGCGGGTCACAGGGGCAGTGACAGGTGGACTCTCGTCCCCCAAGCCATTCCCCTCAGGGAGCAGGGTCCCAGGAACTCCATGGTCGCCCCATTCCGGGTGTGGTGTGGGCTGGGGGTGCAGCCGATCCCCAGCATCTCCCTCCCCAGCCTGCCTTACTGCTGACGCGGGACTGCACCTGTGTCTTTATCCTCCAGGTCTCCCCCAAGGTGAACATCATCCATGCTGGTGGGGCTGTGGGATTGAAGAGAGAGTCCTAAGTCACAATCACCCTCACCCGCTGTGCTTCCCAGGGCCGCCAACTCGGCCCTCGGGGATCTAGAGGCCTGCTAGGCCAGTAATCCCATGCCTGGGAGGCGGAAGCAGAAGGATTGCTGAGTTCCAGCACAGCCTGGGGTGCTAGCAAGGCCTCGTCTTGGGAAAAAACCAGAGGCTGGGGTGGAGCTTAGTGGAGGATCTCTCACCACTCACTCAGCCTACATCCCCCATTCACAGCTGGCCACCCGGGGTGGGGGACATCACGGGCCCGAGATGCCTCCAGCCACAGTGAGGAAGCCGTGGCTGCCCCTCCTGGCCCACCTGCTCCCTCGAGCGCGGCCCAACCGTGTTCAATCCATGTTCACTGACCCCACGGGGCCGAGGGGTATATGTGCGACATCATCTCACAGCCTCTTTCCATGAGCATAGAGCCTCTTAACAACAGATCTGGCCTGGTGTGGTAGCACATGCCTTTCATCCCAGCAGTGGGTGTCTGTGGTCTGGCCTTGGGGCTGCAAGTGTGGTGGCTCACATCAACCTAACCTTCCCACAGTCCATCTTTTGAGTCAGGGTCTCACTATGTAGACCAGGCTGGCCTTGAACTCATGATTCTCCTGCCTCGGCCTCCTGGAGTGGCTAGGATGACGGGGCTGTGCTACCACACCTGGCTAGTCTGGGAACTTGAGCCTGGCACTGTAACCGGGGACCCTGGTCCCCACTGTAATCTGTACAAATTGTGCCCGGGCGACCGGCAGCTGCCTCCATCACCCCGGCAGCTCTTCACCCCCCACGCCCCCAGCGCTCCAGCAATCTCCTAGCTTGCCCAGATGTCCCCACCCCCCATCCACAACAGCCTCCCCTCCCAGATAGGTAGGTTCCTCACCCTTCAGGTCTCATTCTGTACTTCCCAGACCGGCCCGTCTGGATCCTTCGCCTCCTAGGGGCTTCCTGAGTAGCTGGGATGTCCCCCATCCCGCCTCTGGTCACCTCTAGAACTGTCACTGCCGTAGTGTTCCGCATCTCCCCCAGGGACAGGGACTGTTGGTGTCTGAGTCATGTGTGTCCCCAGGGCATCTTGGGGCAGGGCATCCTCCTGGCTCAGCGCCAGCCCTGTCCTAGGAGACTGAGCCCTGCCTTGCCCTGATTATCAGAGGGAAACTGAGGCTCGGGAAGGGGGTGGGAGGGATGGGGTGAGGAGACCCGTGGGGCAGCTGGGATTCTAGGGGACTCATTAGTCCAGTGGATCTCAACCTTGCCGATGCTGTGACCCTTTAATATAGTCCCTCCCCAACTACAAAACTTGTTATTATTGTTTTGTTTTGGTTCTTTGAGACAGGGTTTCTCTGTGTAGCCCTGGCTGTCCTGGAACTCACTCTGTAGCCCAGGCTGGCCTCGAACTCACAGAGATCCGCCTGCCTCTGTGTCCCAGTGCTGGGATTAAAGGCGTGCGCCACCGCCGCCTCCCGGCTCCGTTATTTTGTTGTTACTTCATAGCTGTAATTTTGCCATTACTGTGAATCGTAATGTCAATATCTGTGTTTTCCGATGGTCTTAGGCGACCCCGATGGGTCTTGACCTATAGGTTGAGAAGTGCTGCTCCATCAAGAGACACCCTCTCCAAAGCCTATCTAGGACAGGAACACCGCCCACTCACCGACACCCGTTGGCAGTGTCCCCCAGTAGCCACAGTGCACAGCCTTAAACTCTGTCTAATGGTCACCAGACGGTCCCGTCCGTGACCCCCAACTCGGTGTCTGATTTTCCGAACCTCTACGGGGCGCCATCTCCTGCCCCCAATGCTGACACCCCAGCCCTGTGACCCGCAGAGCCCAGAGAGGTCACACAGATGCCCTGGGATGCACAGCCCGTGAGCGTCGATGCTCACCTGAGAGGGCCGGGCTTGGTGGGGCCGGGCTGCCTCGGGCGGGCCGCCTGCGGCGTCCAGGGCCGCCGATGTTGTGGAACTGTTAGCCTGGTGCCAACGGGTCTGAAACGGGCGGCGCGGGCTCGGGGGGCGGGGCATCGAGGAGGGGGCGGGGCCTGGAGAAGGTGGGACTTAGCTGGGTGGCACGGGGGTAAGGGTCCGGTGTTGTGGGCGGGACCAGGTCATTGTGGTGTGGCTAGGTCTTGTAGGCAAGGCCATGCCTTAGAGCCAGGCGGGGCGGCTCCGGGCCTTGTGGGCGTGACCAATCTTGTGTCGGGGCCATGCTTGTGGGTGGGGCAAGAATGGACTGGGCCGGGCATCATGGGTGGAGCCCCGGCTTCCAGGGCAGCTCTCTGCCTGGTGGGTAAAGCCACGCCCTGTGGGTGGTGTCACGTCTCGTGGGTGGAGCTATGTCTCATGGGCAGAAGCAGGCGTCATGGGGTAAGGACAGAGAAGCCTTGCTGAGGTCAGGCTGTGGGGCAGGCAGGGGTCTGGAGCAAAGGCTGGCCTCAGGACAAGACCCACAGGTTCTCCTGTCCTTTTGGATGGCCTTTGGGAGATCTCCTACCCTGACTTATACAGAGGAAGGGGGCAATCACAGTGGAGACAGCCGCCCCTGCACGCAGACATGCACAGGCCCTGAGGCTGTCAATGCGGAGCCAGGGGTAGCTAACAGAAAGATCCTTGCAGGCTGGCCTCCTGCCCGGGGGAAACCTCCAGGGTACCTTGACATGTCCTGGGCAGGGCGAAGGCAGAGACACACATCAAAGCACCCAAGACAGACACTTGGACTCTTGTGAATACATCGGCACCGTTTATTTTTTTAAAAAAACTTTTTTACAGAAGGTAGAAGAGGGGACAAATTGGTCAAGAGAACCCTGAGGGTAGATGGCCCGGCTTAACCAAGGAAGCTCCCACAGACCCTGCAGCCAAGAGCTCCCTACACCGCGTAGTAACCCCTGGAAGCTGCCGTTGCCATGAGCCACAGCCCCACAGGAGGCTTGCCCTGACCCTCACAGCTGGGTCACCCTGCATGGTTCTAATTCCAGCTGGCCAAGCCAGGGCCTGATGGCTCTGGGGCTCCTCTGTGCCCAACAGGTAACTGCCAAGAGGAAGCCAATCATGCCGAAGTCACATGGGACATGAGGACTGCAAAATTTGTTTCCTGGCATAGGGACAGAGTGGCCTTGATGGCCAGGCCCTTTCTCGAGACACCCACCAGGTGGCAGGGGTTCCTGGTTTCCACTCTGGACCTTGTCTAAGCAGCTGGGCTCACAACAGCCGATGAAACCACACCAGCAGCCTGCACTCGAGACACAAGGTGACCCTCAGAAGAGGGAGGGCGGGCAAGCACGGCCTACCCAAGCTTTGGGCTATCTCACAGAGGTCCCCAGAGCAGGGTGGCATGGGCCCAACTTGGGATCAGAGATGGTTTCTGGGCAAGGGAATAATTTGTTTTCCTTGACCCTGGCCACTGGGACATGGGCCACAAGGGGGTGTGTCGGGGTCCTGCCTGGCCCCCAAAGCACCACACACTATGAAATCTAAAGTTCATACAAACATTTATTCTGTTCCTACCCACGGAGAGAGGCAGCAGCCCCCTGGAAGGCAGCCCAGAGGCCCTGGAAGGTCAGGCCTTCCTTGGGGCTGGCTTGGCTCTGAGGTTGGGGAGTCTTGGTGGGTTCGGGTGAGTTCTGGAAGCCACCCCACAAGGCAGGGCAGACATCCAAGCCCACAGGATTGACTGTGTGGGGTTCAGGCCCTGGATCCCAATGGCTCCAGGGCTGGACTCCTCTGATGAGGAGGAACTGTGGGGTCAGCAGGTTTAAATTAAAAATTAATAAAAATAACAGTATAAAGTAAAAAAAGACAACCCCCGTCTCAAACCATGAGGGCTTGTCCTGTCAGCTGCGTTATACACAAAGGAGCAGGGCGGGCCACTGCCTGGTGCAGCGGGAGGGTGGGGGCTGAGTGGGCACAGGGGACAGGGCTGAGGGTGACATGTAGGACTGTGTGGGGCTGGGCTCAGGGGGTCGGTCTTGGCCCCAGCTCAGGGCCACTCCAGACCTGTAGCCTGAGCTCGGGAGACGCATGGTCAGCTGTCATGTTTTATTACAGTTTGAAAAGAGGCCGAGGGCATCGGGGCTGAGGGCATCGGGGCTAAGGGCAGTCAGGGATGTAGGAAAGGGGCGTGGCATGGTGGCGGCGGCGGGTGGGGAGTCATCGCTTGGTCTTGGCGTCTTCTCGGATCTTCCAGATGACAAGGTGCATGCAGGCGCTGGCATCCTCACTGGAGCTGTGCCCGTCCACTGCAGGGCAGACATGGTCAGCACGGTCCCGACCTGCTCTGTCCCCCAGCCCCCACCCGGACGCTGGCTCCTCACCATTGTCTTGGATGATCTGTCTGAGGTAGTCGGCCATGAGGTTTCGCAGGGAGCGCTTGTAGGGCAGGCCCAGGCGGTGCGGGAACAGCACTGAGGTGTCCACCACCGTGCCGTGGATAACCTACGGGAGAGGTGGGTCGTGGACGGGGCTTGCTGGGCAGGGCCTCCCAGCCTCAGCCGCAGCAGGCACAGCTACCTTGAGGGCCAGCAGGTCACTCTCCAGGCTATGTCCGATGAGGATGGTGTCAGCGCTGAACATGCTCAGCAAGACGGCCTGCACGTCCCGCAGTGTGATGCTTGTGTCCACAAGGTCAGCCTCCGTCACCCCCGAGAACCTGCAGAGGGCCGGATTTGAGAGGAGATCTGGGCCAGGCAGGACAGGAGCAAGGCTGGGGTCCCGTGGCAGGCCGGCACCCACCTGGTGTTGTAGTCGACAACTTCGTTGTCGGGCTTGACAAAGGTGTCGTACACGACCTGCATGTCTGTGTCCACGACTGTGACGCGGGTCAGCTCCAGGCCGTACGTCGTGTAGGACTGCGGGCGTTGAGATGGGCGCTAGATGCAGCCGGCTTCCCAAGCCCACCTGCCCTGGTGGCTAGCCATGGCTGCTGCACAGACCCCGTGGGGACACCGGGGGAGCCACGGCAGCAGAGGGAGACGCTGGCCAGGAACCCCGAGAACCCTTCTCAAGTGGGCTGAGACACACACACACACACACACACACACACACACACCCTCGGGACACCGTGGAGATGCGGCATTAGTGACAGCCTTGCACCTCAGCCATCCACTCGCTTGCAAGCCCTCGGGCGGCCTCACTTTCTCACCCTTCCAGAGTGGCCCCAGCTGCGCACAGCACCAGGTGCCCAAGAGCCCAGACTCACCATCTCACAGTCTAGGGCAAAGACCCCTGCGTGGGAATCTTCGGGCAGCTCCTTCTGGAAGGTGCGCACAAAGCCCTCCAGGTTCTCCTTCCGGCCGTCCTGCACGTGTTGCTGGGGAACAAGGGGGTCAGCAGCAGGACCAGCACAGGCCACATGTGACGCCTGGGACCAGGGGCCTGTGGAGGCGGGTGGGCCCAGTGCGCTCCTGACTGGAAGGGCTGGGTGGGGCCCATGACAAGCCTGAACATAGCACTCAACTGTGTCCCTCAACCCTGGTACAGTGTCCAAGACCGAAGCCGAGAGCGGGGAGTGGCACCCAGCAGGACTTACCTTGGCAACCTGACAGCCCACGGCGCCGACCGCAGCCGAGCAGCACATGTACTGCGTCTCCCAGCCCCCGGCCACTGGGGAGAGAGCAATGGGGTTCAGGCCCGGGCATGGAACCCTGGCCACCCGGCAGGGAACCCTGGCCACCCCCCGGCAGGGACCGGATTCAGGGAAGAGATCTGGGCCAGCAGCATCTCAGGCTGATGCGGGCCCAGGGAAGGTCCCCCGGGAACAGTGCGGAGTGTGAGACAAGCAGACCCTGTGCTCTGGGAGGAACACTCCGGTCACAGAAGACCGCGGCCTTCCCACGGACGACGGAGGGGAGCGGGGCGGGCACGGGGCCTTCCCACGGACGGAGGTGAGCGGGGCGGGCACGGGGCCTTCCCACGGACGACGGAGGGGAGCGGGGCGGGCACGGGGCCTTCCCACGGACGACGGAGGGGAGCGGGGCGGGCACGGGGCCTTCCCACGGACGACGGAGGGGAGCGGGGCGGGCAGAGCTGTGTGTGCAGTGGCCGAGCCTCACCGCGGTTCCGCCGCAGCCGTCCCCAGTGGTAGTAGCACTCCTCGCTGCGCACACAGCGGCCCGAGGAGGACACAAGGTACTCGGAGCCACAGCGACAACAAATTCTGCAGGAGGCTGTGGGTGAGGACAGACGGACAGGCAGAGGGCGAGTGGGCGAGAGGCTGGCACCAGCACCCCTGAGCACGACGCCCGACTCAGCAGGCAGCTCCCCACCCAGTCCTGCTGGTGAGGACGCGGCTGGAGGAGACTCACGGTCCTTGGGCTTCTTCTCCTCAGCCGTGAAGATGACGGCGCCCCCTGGGCGCTCTGGGTGGGGGAAGGGGTAGCCGTTCTCCTTGAGCTGCTCCTGAGTGAGCAGGTACTCCCTGAGGCGGCTGTACAAGGCGTTCCCTGTGGGCACCGGGCGGGGGTCAGTGCTGCCGGGGTCAGGGGGACACCCGCAGGCACACGCACGCGCGCACACACACACACACACACGCTGCTGCACCGGGCTGTCCCTGCGGGGCGCTGGCTGCCACTGCTGCAAAGGAGGGGGGCGATGATAGGGGACAGGGCGGGGACAGGACAGCCATGGACACGGGTGTGTGTGTGGGTGTGTGTGTGTTACGGAGCAGCAGAGGCGTGAACTCACCTTTCAGCTCCTCCACCCGTGGGCTGCTGGGGCGGCTCAGTGAGAAGCTGGTTTTGGCTGCCAATCTGCCTCCCAGCACCACCTCGTGGGACACAACTCTGCGGCCACTGGCTTCTAGAAGGAAGGGCAGAGGAGCCAGGGAGCGTGAGCCGGCTGCAGTCTGTCCTCAGGGCCGCCACACTGCTGTCCCCTAGCCCAAGCCTACTACATGTACATACCCTCTCCTGCCTACAGAGTCCCTGCTGGGAAGGGAGGACAGGTCACCCCAGGGCTGAGCAGCTCCCCGACCCGTGCTCTGGGTGGACAGGCCAGGCCTACCGTTCCTGACGGAAGGTGTGAGGCAGGGGCATGTTGCAGCTACTCAAGCAGATAACTAATGCATTTTGAAGCTTTGAGCTGTCACCACCTACAAAGGCCACCCCGACCCTCCGGCAGGTGGGGAGAAGCTAATGGAGGCTAAGGGCTGCCCAGGGAAGCAAGATCACTGTGGTGACTGCCTAATGTGGCCTCTCGAGGAGACACAATGGAACCTCTTAACTGTCTCCCCCTCTCTCCCCTAGCAAACGCACAGCGCTCAGCCACTCACTGTCAAGAGGCTGTGGGCGCCATTAGCAGAGGCCCCACACGTGAAGGAGGGAGGGAGGAGGGAACTCAGGCAGCGCCTGGATGTGGGGTACTGGGACGGCCTGCTGCTGGAGCCCATGAGCACCGAGTTCTGGGCAGGGCCCTCCCACACAGCTGCCACTCACTGCTGAGGCTGGGCACGGTGTTGGGGACCAGGCCCCTCAGCTTCTTCAGGGTGTTCACAGCCACGTTCAGGTAGATGTTCTTGCTGGGGCTGCGCTCATACGCCACCTTCTCCTCGTTCAGTGCCTAGCGGGACACAGCGGCACCGGGACATCAGCGGGGGGGGGGGGGGGGCAACCACACTGAGGGGACAGCAGGCGGGCTGCAGGACCGGGGGACCCCGCACAGACCCTGCCCGTGTATTCCGGGGACACGCTGGCTAGGAAGAGCCTGCTGCCCACAAGGAAGTGGTACAGGCAGTCAGTTTGGACCAAGATGCCTAGATGAGAGCCAGGGAGACAAAGGGCCCTTCCTGGCTTCAGGCCAAGGCCACAGTGACCGGGGCTCCCTGCTCTGCCCCACCTTCTCAATGGCCTCCTGGTTGGACGGGCAGAACTTGAGGCACTCCTCGATGAAGAGGTTGAGATAGCGCTGGCGCACCACAGTGGGGACCTTGCCGCCAAATTCTTTCGGGATAACGGGCTTCTTTAGACTCTGGAGGAAGAGGCGGGGTGGGCGAGGGGTCAGGACACAGGGGAAGAGGGGAATGGGCCGTCCACAGCACGAGCCCAGCCATGAATCCTAGAGGAAAAGGCTGGGGGTGGGACCGCTGCCCAGAATCCCCCAGGGAGGGGCTGGGGCGCGGCTTGCGCATGGCCTGCCCAGCTTGCACGGACTCTGGTTCATCCTCAGTACTAGTAAACAGAACACACTGTAAGGCCAACACAGAACCCTGGGAGGGACACTACGAGCAGAGCAGAGTCCTGCGAGCAGGCCAGGGAAGAGCCAGCTGGGGGCAGGGTACCTGGAGTGATGGGCTGTGGGCGATGCGCTTGGGGGTGACAGTGGTGGTGGTCTTTGATGCCATCCCTGACAACGTGCGCGTCTTCAGTGGCTGGCTGCCAGGTTCAGGACCGTGGGACACCTGGCTGCTGCTGGCAGGGAGCGCCCTCTTGGCACCTGTTGGGGCTGGTGGGGGACAGGGGACATGAGCACAGGAGGACAGGAGGCCCATGACGGAGCTGCGGAGCACCAGGAAGCTGTGGTCATTGAGTGTGAGCAGGACACGCATCTCGCAGCGCAGCGGGGGCCGGGGCGCCGTGCTCGGGGTGCGGAAGGACATGGGACTCTAGCTGCTCTGGGGCAAGTCCATGGAGGTGGGAAAGGGCAACACGGCTGTGGAGGCCGGCTCAGGCAACGCCACGGTCGGGACAGTCTGGCAAATGGCAGGGTGTGGTCGGGGCCTCTGCCGCATGTTCCAGCCCCCAACTCCGAGGCATTGACGTCTGAGGGGTAGCCCTGGCTCCTAGGCACAGGACTAGAGGGCCTGGGATGCCCTGGCCTGTTCATTGTGACAGGCTACCTGCCTGTCCCTGTAATGAGGTCACAAACCATACAGTCTCCGCCCTGGCAGTGGGTGGCCAGGGTTGTCCCGATTGTTAATGCAGGGGTGTGGGGTGCCTGACCATCAGAGCCCCTGGAAGAAGGGAGCCAGAGACTAGGGACATCTGCCTCTAGTCAGGATCGTCTCTGGATAGGGCCAGGGAGCAAGACCAGGCTGCCTTTGCCATCCTTCCTGGAACCAACCCAAGGCTGTGCTTGACAAGAGGGGGCCCCCATGCTCTCTCAGCCCCACAGGAGGAGGGCACACGTGCATGAGTAACCCAGCCCTGTGAGCAAGCTAGGGCGCAAGCACTGAGGCAGATCAAGGTGCGTGTCTGGGGACAAGGGAGTGCAGAACCAGAGCGGCCCTAATGAGCCCTGCTGCGGCTGAGGCCAGGAGCCTCCCCCAAGGCTGGGCCATGGGCATGAACAGGAACAGAGAATCCTGGGCACCGCAGGCCTGGGGAAGGCAGGAAGAGGGCCAGGCCCAGCAGCTCTTCCTGATTGGGTCACAGGCTCACGTCCTGACTAGTGAGAAGTGGTCTGTCCTGACGGCAAGACCCGCCCTGGGAGCCATAAGACGCAGCCCCGACCGACCGCCTAGGCAGGATGTGTTCTCAGGGACTGTGCTCAGCACAGACAGGACTACTCCACACCTGACCTTCAGAGCTGCTGCCCACCCCAGGCAGGCCCAGGCAAGTCCCACTGAGGGGCCTTGGACTGGGATAGTCCCCACTGACCCCTGGCCTCCAGCATCCCAGGGCCTGAGTCTGGGAGGAAGCAAGGAGCTGCCCAGGCCTTCTGAGCCATCCTGTCCCTACTCCACCTGGTCAGTCAGCCACCAAGGCCCCGGAAAGGTGGTGCTCAAGGCCAAGTAACTCAGGGAAGTTCCCAGGGTGCTGCTTCCCCCTGTACCCCAGATGCTGGGGTTGGGGGTCCGAGAGGGTGGGGCCAGGACTTACTGGTGGCCAGGAGGGGGTTGGGTACGTGAGCAATCCTCCTCTTCTCCCCAGGGGCAGAGATATGCACGGAGGAGAGCCTGTCCGTCGGCCTCGGGGCCACCTGTAACCAGCTGGCAGAGGCCCTCTGCGCCTGCTGTGCTCTCCGGTAGCACACCTCCTGAGCAGTCGGGGGCCGGGCTGGGGGGGGCCGCGGGGGCCCTCCTTGGGGCCTCCGCCTGAAAGAACACAGGTCCTGGAGCCCAGCTCTGAGTCAAGAGCACTCGAGGCAGGCTGGATGAGGAGCCCCGGGGTGGGAAGCCTTCCCCCATCCCAGCTCCCTTGGCTTCTGGAAGCCTTGGTCCCGGGGTCACTGTCCAGCAGTGCAGGGGCAACGGCGACCTGTCTGCGCACATCTCAGAGATGAAGCCTTCCTGAGAAACTGCATCTGGGACCCTGCCCCCGTCCTGGGAGGCTTTAAGGACTAGTTCTGAATGTTTGTGTGTGCCCACGCTTGTCACCGCAGCCCTGTGTGGCCTCTTCTGGGCTCAGAGGCTGGCTAGCCCGCTCAACTCTGCTACCCACGGGAATCTGTCCCACTCTCCCTGCAGCTCCTGTGCCTAGGTCAGGGATGATGGACAGGCAGTGGACAGGGCATGCTTCTCTACAGGACACCAGCTTACCAAAGGCCAGCAGCAGGGGGCCTGGGATCCAGACTGGGGGGCAGACCTTCTCCCTCCAGCTGCCCACCCTTATCCCCAAGTCTGGGTCTTACCTCCTTGCCTGGCTTGCAGAGGTGGGAGACCCTTCTCTTCTGCCCCGGGAACAGAGTGGTCAGGTCTGCGTGCGCCTTCTCCACAGCCTTCTCCTTGGGGGGCTGAAAACACACATGCACTCCTCACTCTAGGTCTTCCTTGGGGCACACCCCTGCCTTTCCACCCAGCCTCATGTCACCACCAGACCTCAGGCGGTCCTGCAAGTGAGAGCCCTACCCAGGATCAGCACCCTGCGGCCCAAGCCCCCCCCAGCACCTGCCTCCCAGGCTAGGGTGGCAATTCTGTGGACAGGAGGACAAATAGGCACGGCCCTGCTGCTGCCCCCACACCCAGCCCAGGATGACGGCTCAGATACGGAGTGCCAGTCAAGGGCATCCCCGTAGGCCTAGTGCTGGAGGGAAAGGGCCAAGTCCATCTTTGTCTGTGCAGGGTGAGTGCCCCCTGGTGGCCAGCATGGGGACATTGAAGGGGGACACCCAGATGGGTCAAGGCTGGCCTGAGATAGGCAAGCCAGGGAGAGAGCAGAGACGGGGATAGAGGCCAGAAAAGGAGCAAGAGCGGGGGGGGGGGGGGGGGGGGGGGGGGGGAGGACAAGAGAGGACAAAGAGCTGGGGACAGGAAGTGTGAGGCAGGCGCGGGGCGGGAGGGCCCGGTACCCCTTTGCCGGTCAGTCTGAACGGTCAGTCGGACGCTGCCACGGGAAGCCGGCTGGGTGGGTAGAAAGCCAGCATCCTCGTTCTGGGCAGGGTGCAGGGGGGCAGCAGGCGGCCACCGAGGGTTCCTGAATTTTGAATGGAGTTAAGAGGCCGGTGCTGAAGGAGCGGCTTCTGCCTGGGTCTCAGAGGCTGGAGTCGGCTGGAGACGGCTGCGGGATGGAGTGTCCCCTCACAGGGCCCTCGCCTGCCAAGGCCAGCGCCCTCACCTGCCGGGCCAGCCGGCCCTTGTCCTCCGTCTTCACACTGGTAGACTCATTGAAGATCCGCAGGCACTCCTCCATGGGGTCCGCATCGAAGTCCACCTCCTTCTCCAGGGCCGAGTAGTCCACATCCTCCTCTGCACACTGGCTGGCTCCAGAGGAGGAGGAGGAGGAGGAGGGTGGGGAGGGCGGTGCGGGGGATGCGGGGGATGCGGGTAGCTCGGCCTTGAGACGCTTGGGCACCTGTGTCTCACCCAGGCCCAGGCTGGAGTCAGAGTCTGATTCTGAGTCTGAGCTGAGGCTGGGAAGGGTGGGGGGCCAGACCCGGGGTGCCCTGGCCCCCAAGCCTGAGTCCTCCTCCTCGCTCTCATCCCCAAATAATTCAGCATGGCTCAGGGCCCGCTTTTTGAGCTTAGGGGCTTCCTGGGGGGCACCCTCGTCCAGGGAGCGGGCCTTGCGTTCCACCAACTTCCCTGATGGTGTCTTCCTATCACTGCCGCCTTTCCGGGCCAGTGGTGCGTGGGGGCCAGACCCGGAGTCTTGGGGCCGGGGCCCTCCACTGGAGGAGCGGCCTGGTCCCCCTTTCCCTGAGCTGGCCACCGCAGTGGTGTTGGATGGCTTTTTCTTGGTCCCTTCGGAGCCCTGGGCCTTGCCCCGGGGGCTGCCAGCATGTGTCCTCTTCTTGTCTGCACACACCTTCTCCTTCTCCCGGGGCCGTCCCGGGTCCTTGTCTTTCTTCTTGTCTCTTTTGCGGGCCTTGTCCTTGTGGCTGAGGCTGGCTGGTGTCCCACTTTTCTTCCTCTTGGCTTTGCCGTCCTTGGGGACCCCGGCATCGTGAGGGGCCCGAGCTACTGTGTCTGCTGCTTTCGGAGGCTGCCCGAGGTCTTCCACGTCACACTGCACAGCCATCTCCTTGGTGCCCCGCAGGCTGCCCTCCACGGGCTCCGGACCCTCCTTGGAAGCAGGTTTCCCAGGCGCCTTGCTTTCAGGTTCAGCCCCAGCCTTGGGGCTGCTGACATCAGCCTTCGCCGGGCTAGCCACCTCATCTTCTGAGTCTGAGAACCTGGCCTCACAGCCGCCGAAGGGGTCACAGGGCTTCTTGATGGCAGGTGTGTAGGGCTCAGCACCCCGGGAGCCTCGCGGCCGCTTGGCGGCCCTCTCATCCCTGGTACTGGCCCTGCCAAGGTGCCGAGCTGAGTAGTTGGACAGTGGGTCGTACTCCAGATCTGTTGATGGCTTTGAGCTGTCCACCACATACTTGCCACCAGACACCGGTCGGCCACAGCGGCGCGGCTGGCCCACAGCCTTGGGGACATACTCCAGGGCACTGGTGCCCCCTCCAACTCTGCCCTGACCCCTCTCTAAAGGGGCCAATGAGTACTTTTGACCTGGTTCAGCAGGGGCAGCCAGTGGGGTGGGCTGGTAGCCTGAGTCTGGGCTCAGCAGGCCCCCTGGTGTATAAGTGAGGGCCAGCGAGAAGGTGTCGTCATCATCCAGGCTCGTGGCAGGGCTGCAGGGTGCCAGGGCTGAAGCCCCAGCACCGTGCCCCCGTGCCGTCTCCAGGAGCTCCTGGTAGCGCCTCTGCTCCAGCTCCACCTCACCACGCACAGCCTCGATGGCTTGGTTGACCAGCTCCAGCTCCAGCATGCCATCGCCTTGGCCCAGCACGCCATTCTCTCTCTCCGCAGGGGGCTGAGGCAGCTCCGGATTGTACGGGTCATAGCCAAGCCCTGGGAGGGAAGAACACGGACAGCCCCTGAGCCAGCCTGCCAGAGATGGGCAAGGTAAGAGAGCCAGCTGTCCACAGCCCACTACACACCAGGCTTGGGCCCGAGGACATCCATGACACCGTGACAACGCGGGTTGGGATCGCCTGCCCCATGCAGGACCTGGCAGAGGATGACTGATGGGTGCTGGGGTGTGTGTCTAGCTCAAGGAAGGGAAGGGTCTGGGTCTGGGTCTTCACAGACAGAGCACTGCCAGGGATGCACGGGCTTCCTCCCCAGCACCACATAAACCAGTCACGATGGCTCACACCCATCACCCAACTCTAGAAAAGGACCTAACTCACCCCCCACCACACACATTCAGACACACAATTAAAAGTAAAACTCTTTTTAAAGCCTTAATAAAGAGATTAGTAGTTATGGTGTGATCCCACCAGTATAAGCAAGAACTGTATGACCCACCACGTCTATCTGGAAGAGGGGTGGGGTCCAGGCACACTGTTGATATCCCCTCTCTGAGCACTGTCCCCAAGGGAAGCTGGAAAAACACCCAAGCGAGGTGTAGGCTCAGGGAGGGTAGTTTGTTACAAAGCAGCCGTCCTTCTCAACAGCCCACGCAGCCCTGCTGAATGGTCAGGCACCCCAGACACCTGCAGAAAGCCCATGAGTGACCCTGTGGCAGTTCCCTGTGGCTGACGACCCTGAGCTGGGGACCACCCTGCATCAGCAGGGGCCTGGCACCTCCACAGGGTGGTCCTCGGGGAGGTAGGACTGGGAATCGGGAAGGGCCTCCCACATGAGCAGGGTGAGGCTGGAGGAGCGGTGCTGGCCAAGCCCAGGGTCAGTCAGTCTTCCATGACACTCCGCAGCTGTCTGAAGCCGACAGCCTGAAATACAAGCTCTGCCATGGGAGATGCAGCACAGTGAGGGGCACCGGCAGGAGCTCACATCTGCAGCCTGAAGGACAAAAGAGGAGGCACTCACAGGAAGCCTCCGCTGCCTAGAAGGGCAGGAACTTGGGGACAAGAACTCAGCACATGCTGGGAACTGGCCAGAGCCCACTGACTTGTGGAAGGGATTGGGGGAGACTGGGAAACATGTGAGCTGCTTCTCACTTTTCTTTAGTTATTTACCATATAGATCAATATGGTGTGGCCCTAGCTGCCTGAATATGCTGGAATGATGCCAGGCTTGGCTGGGTTCTTAGAAAGTAACATTCCAACAATCAGAAGCAGTGGACCAGCCAGGCGGGAGGCCGAGGCAAAAGGATCAGAAGTTCAAGGTCAGCTTAGGCCAGCAAGGCCCGATCTCAAAAGAAAAAGGTAAAGGGGGGGGGGGGCTCAGTAGCAAAGACCTTGCCTAGCACACCCAAAGCCCCCGGGGGGGGGGGGGAGGAGGAGATGAGTGGATAAACTCAGAAACTAAACTGAATGCTATGCTCAGGCCTCCTGCAAGCAATGCCCTGTCTCGTGAGCCCCGTGGGCGGGAGAAGGGACAACGCCCAAATGAGGAGCACTCCCTCTGGCTTTGTTATGTGGAGTGACTTTTGATTCACCGGAGGGCTTACACATAGAGGTCAGAGGACCCACGTGGGTCCCAGGGGTCCAATTGGGTGTTGTCTGGCTGGGTGCAAGCGCTGAGCCGTCCAAAGGGCCTTTCTGATTGCTTGCTTGTTTCTTTGAGACAAGGTCTGCTCTAGCTCAGGCTGTCTGGGAACTCATGGCAATCCTCCTGCCTCAGCCTCCCAAGTACTGGAGTGGCAGGTGTGAGCCACCATGCCTGGCAGGCCTAGACTTTGAGCACACAGCTACCAGGAGCGCTTGGCTGTCTGAGGGCCACAGCTGAGGGTATTTGGTGGTGCTACTGCCTGGGGCCCCTGCCTCACCATCCTTCTGAGGTAGTCCTCTGGGGGACCTTGTGACTCTCCAGGACTCAGGGCACATGGAGAGGGGACCTTGGCACCACACTGTAACCTTCAGAGGATCACCTGGGAGACTGTTAACTGCGAGGGGAAGACCGACCCTACTTGGGGACACCAGTGCATGGATTGGGGCCCGGGCTTAACGAAAGAGAGAAAGCAAGCTGAGCACCAGTGCTTATCTCTGCTTTCTGACTATGAACTCAATGAGCAGCTGCCTCCTTGCCCGCCTCCGTGCCCACCTCCTTGCCCGCCTCCATCCCTGTCTCCATCCCTGCCTCCACACCTGTCCTGCTGTGATGGACTGCAGCCTTCTGTGAGCAGAACAACCCTTCCTAAGCGGCTGTTACCAGGCATCTTGCCACACCCTTTATTAATGCAGATGTTGACCCCAGAAGCTACCACATCTTAATCCTAGCACTCAGGAGGCAGAGGCAGAGGCAGGCGACTCTCTGTGAGTTCAAGGCCAGCCTGGTCTACAGAGCGAGATCCAGGACAGGCACCAAAACTACACAGAGAAACCCTGTCTCAGAAAACCAAAAACAAAACAAAACCCTACAGTGACAAAGGAGGACCCTTCTGTGTAAATGTGGGTGCACACGGTGCTCTCTGGGGAGGGGGCTGGGCCACACAGGTGACTGAGAGCCCCCAAAGGCTCTACTCTTGGAAATCACCACACCTGCAGGGGAGGGTCCCTGAGTCCTAGGCTGGGGGTGGGATCCACACACCACCCACCACGCCCCACTAGCCCTGCTGACAGACAGATGGGCAGGGGAACTGGGGTCCTCAGGCCGGAACAGGACGCCTGGCGTAAGCTCAGATTGCCAGTGGAGGAGTGACCCAGACACAGCCAAGCAGAGCTCTCCTAGGTAACCCTGTCCACATATCAGTCTGACAGGCCACACCAGAGGCAGCTGAGTCTCAACAGGGGCAGTATCTCACTGGGCCTCTGCCAACAGGAAGTCAGTCCCCAGCCAGTACCGGAGGTCTCCATTCAAGGCCAAAGGACTGATAAAGGCCAAGAGACTGCTCAGGGTCCAGCCCAGCCTTGAGCTGATAAGAGCTCCCAGCCCTGGAGGCGGAGAAGGATGTTCCTCAAACACCACAGGGAAGGAGAGACAGAGTGTGGGCAGTGCAGGGGTGCTGGTTCCAAGTTCTGGGAGCACCAGGCTGCTCTGGCTTCTCGGATGGGTTCTGACTGGCACAGTCCTGAATGCCAACCCCAGAGAGATGGCCACACTGCTCAGGGTCTGCACAGGACTGTGACCCATCTTTCCTAGGCTGGCCCTTCCCACCCCACATTGGGACCCAGGCACCCACGTTTCCGTAAGCTCAACACTGCTGGACAGATGAGGTCACCCAAGCAGGATCAAGCTCCAAGGCTACCTTAGCTGACTCATGCACAGAGACCACACACACTGGCAGCAGGTCACCAGAGAGAGCCATGGGAAGCTGCACATAGGTACGAGGTCTGGCCAAAGATGGCGCCAGGCCTAGGGAGTGTCCCTCAGCCTCAGTATGGGTGCACAGGTCTTATCCTAGGAGGTCACCCTTAAGGAATGTGCCCAGGATCCTTGTGCCCCCAGGTCATCCTCCAGAGCCTTTCCCCTGACTCTACAAGGTCAGTCCTTTAGGGTGACAGGGCTTCCAAGCAGATGTGGCCACTAAGTGGGATGCAAGGAGACAGGTGCCTTGCATGCCTAGGGCTCTCTCTGAGACAGGGACAGGCCTGAACCACCATGGGCATCCACCAATCCAGAGCTCAGAGGAGCTGATAGGCAGGCGGGCCACGTGTTACCACCACCCTGGGACAGGGCTAGAGGTAGCCTTCCTTTTCCATGGTCCACAAGCGCTGTAAGTACTTTCCAGTCAATAAAGAAAAGTCTCAACTCCCAGTTACTCTCTCCCGGAACCAGATGAAGCCAGTGTGCTGGTCCACCTGTCCTCTTCCCAAAGTCCCAGAGGTGTATACCGAGTCCAGAATAGCCAGAAAGACCTTCAGAGAGCCTCAGGGCACATGTGCCTAGACCACTGCCACCCCAGTCTCTGGCAAAGTGAAGCAAGGCTGGGGAGCACCCTTAGGCTGCTGTGGGGCAAAAGTCCATTCTTAGGGGGCTGCTTCCAGAGAACACTGACGCGCTCTAGTACCCAGGAACAAGTTCCCCTCAAGGGTGAGGCACCCCTTTTCCCACGGGTCTCCTGACACCACAGGCACTCTTTAACACTCAGCATGGAGGAAGGAGCCCCCTGCAGGGTCCATACTTCCAGGACTCAGACTGACTAGCTGCCCTCTTGCGGGCCTCTCTGCCAGTCCAATGCCCCTGCGTCTGTGGGCGTGTGTCCTGAGGAGAGGATGCTAGCTGCAAACCCCTGCACCAGCAGTCACCCAAAATCCCAAGTCCCTTATGCAAATGGCACCGGGCAAATAGGCCACAGAGCCAGGTCGAAAGGGCCTGGTGAACGATGGCCTCATACAGCAGCAGTGCCCAGCTGAACCTGCAAGGGCCAACGTGGCCATGATAACAACGGAGGGGCCATGGCCAGAGACAGATGCAGGACAGATGCAGGATGGGTGACTTGGGGACTCTTCTACACTCTCCAGGAGCCCACAAAAAGCACTCTAAAGACACAGCACCGGGCACATGTGCCAGATGAGCAGCAGGAAGAAGCATCCTGCATCCTGTCCTGCTTAGACCAGGACACCCATCTGACCTCTAAGCCACCTCCTCCAGCAACAATGGACTAGTGGAACCAGCTGCCCATCACCTGCAGCCCTGATGCTCCCTGGCTGGGCAGAGCTGGGCCTGGAAGAGGCAGACAAGGAGAAGAGAGTCACCAGACCCCTGGCAGCACCAGTCTAAGCAGAGTAGGATGGTGTGCTACTGTATTTCAGAGGAAGACCGGGGTGCTGTGCCTCAGCCTCCAATGCACAGGTGTCTCCACGTCCACAGTGCCAACTATCCCTGACTGGCCCTCTTTGGGAGGCAGCAACTGGCCAGATGCTGTGGCCTGGAGCACCCCCTGCTGGCGTTTGCTGGAGAAGTGGATCTTGCCCTGGGAAGGAGCCCAGAGCAGCAGGATTGCCATGTGCTAGTGGCTGGCACAGGTCCCTCTATCCCCAGGTCACTCAGAGAAGGAAAGCCACCCCTGAAGCCTGTCTGCCCAGGCAGTGAGCAAGGCTGTTCTGACAGGACAACAGGAAGTCACCCATGTGTGGGTGGCAGAGCTTGGTGGGAAGAGGCCTGCAGTGCCTGGCCCTCTGATGCTCGCTGCTCAAGCATGCACTAGGCTGGGATCCAGAAGCCCACAGAGGCCCTCAAGGCTCAGAAGGAGCTTGGCCACTTTGCTGTCCCTCTCCCCCCAAGGAACACCCTCCTTCCCCTTTGCTTGAGCAAACCCTATTCTTTCTACAAAGCTCCAGGGCACCCCAACTGTCCACAGGACAGTCTGGGAACAACTCCTGCTGGGTCTTCACTCCTGGCCACCCACACCACACTGCTGGGGAGTCTCAGGAGGAGGTTCCGGGGCCCTGAAGACATGGCGGTTGGTAGCAGGGGTAGGGGTCACTCTCTAGCCCGACACCTGATCTCTCATTTCTGTTCCTCTCACCCTACCTCCCTTGGCACACAGTAGCTGTGCAAGAGTGGAGACAGCTGGGACCCTGGGCTCTGCGAGGCCACTGTGCCAGCCCCTCCACGTACACCCAGAGACTGAGCTCGGCAGAGCTGTGGCCTCCCTCCTCCATGGCAGCTTCCCCAGTACCTGGGCTGAGGGCTGGATGGGGAGCCTAAGCACCAGCGTGAAGGCTGCTTGCAGGTGCTCTAAGCCAGTGCAAGTGTGAAACTGAAGAGACCCAAAACAGCAGGTGGACGTGGCTGTCTATGCTTGGCCTCCCAGTTCTCAAGAGGCAGAGGCAGGAGGATCACCACAAGTTTAAGGCCGATCTGACTCATAAAAACAAACCGGCAGGGAGGGGTTAGAGATGGCTCACCACCATCTGCTGCTTCAGTGCTGTGGGATCCAGTGTTCTCTTCTGTCTGCTCTGGACACTGCACACATCTGGTGCATATACACACATACACATACATACACACACACATATATACTCACACACATATACACACACACATACATACATACATACATATACACACACATACACACACACACATATATACACACATACACACACACACACATACATATATACACACATACATACATACACACACATATATACATACATATATACACACATACATACAGGCAAAACACTTGTGTTTTCTTTTTTATTATTTGATTTTTGGTTTTTGGAGACAGGCTTTCTCTGTGTAGCCTGGTTGTCCTGGAACTCGCTTTGTAGACTAAGCTGGCCTGAACTCAGCGATTCACTTGCCTCTGTCTCCAAAGTGCTGGGATTAAAGGTATGTGCCACCATCTGGCTCTGGGCCAGGGGTGGGGGAATGTTAAAACACTCTTAACCAGACTGAGACAGAGTACTTGAAATCAATCTGGGAACTGGAGATGAAGCCAGTGCTGAGGTGACTCTAATGTGTGAGTCCTGCGTTCTGTCCCCAGTGCCGCCGCCACAACAGAGCAACCGTGGAGATGATGCCCACCTATCTTGTCAGCAGGAGGACCAGAAACTCAAGGTCATCCTTTGCTACATCAACTGAGGCCATCCTAGACTATACGAGACCTGCCTCATATATATATATATGCCACATATATATACATATAATAAAAAAGGAGAGCCACTTCTAAGGGACAGAGGTCACCAAAGAGGTCTAAACAGTTCTCTGTTCAATAACCCCCTCCCTCCAGCCTTTTCCTCCTAATGTCTGCCTGTCTTTCTTTCTTAGAGAAGGTCACATATGTAACCCAGGCTGGCCTTGAACTCAAATTCACCTTACTCTGCCTCCCAAGTGCTGGAACTAAAAGTGTGAGCAACCATGTCTGGGTGCAGTGCACGTTTTCAAGTTGTTGCTGTTGTTGTTTTTAATGCATATGAGAGTTTTGTCTGTACGTATGCATTTGCAACGTATGCAGAAGCCAAACTGCATCAGGTGCCCTGGAACTGGAATTATAAAGCAGCCATATGGGTGCTGGGAACCCTGTTGCAGGGCCTCTGCAACAGCCCCAAGTGTGCTTTCCCCACCCCACCCCCAGAGAGGCCCTTACTATCGATGGCTTTTCTGGAACAAATCCTCATGTAGACCAGGCTCGCCTCCTGAATACTGGGACTAAAGGTGTGCAATGTGCCCCCAGCCAAAAGCAGCAAGTGCTTTTAACTGAGCCATTTCTCCAGCCCCACAGTGTCTTCTTTAATGCAATGGAAATTCTCTGCATTCTCTTCTGGTTAGGGTCATCCCAGAACCTGCTAGGTTGAACTGAGGATCCTGGGTCCCAAACTAGCCAAGCCTACACAGTAAAAAAAATAAATAAATAAAACGTTAACTAGCAAAATTCTAATTTCTCCCAATGTTTTCTCTAATAATACAGTACCGCCTACACATTAATGCCTTCTTAAAAGTACCATCACACCAATCATTGCGACATGCTCCCTGACAAACTGAAAGTCGACACCCGTCCAAGCCGAGCGGGTTTTCAGCTTGACAAACAGCAGTTGCCCCTAGGGCCTTGTGCTTCCAACTACTGCAGACAACGGGGGCCTCGCCCGAGGAAAGTGTCGCGAGCAGAAACAAGATGTGCCACAAGCGCATGGAGTAGGGTGCACGGTGACAGGCGAGGCATGACATCCCGTTTCAAACAAAGCGGCCGGAACGAGGACGGGGCGGTCGCACAGACTGCGCCAAGTCCCCCAGCTCGGCGACGCGCCTGCACGGTCTCTCCCTCCGTCGTGTCCGGGTTTACATTTTACTCAGTGATCAGAGAGGCCTAGACACTTGCACAGCATCACGATGCCCCCCTACTAGGGGAGGGGCAGCTCCGCGAGGGTGTGCGACCAGGCTGCGCAAGGGGACGGCGCAGCACGAGCGGGCCGGCCCAGCGGTGGGACCGGGCGCGGTCGTGCAGGCTTTACCTGCTGCGGGAGACGCCGCACCGCCGCCACAGGGCGCGCCGGGGCCCCGAGCTCCGCGGTGCCGGAAGTGGCAGTAGGGCCGCCGGCAGGGCCCCCCGGGAGCTCCCGCCCAGTACGGGCAGTCGATGGAGCGGAAGAAGCCGGTAGAACGTAGCATGGTCCGTTCCGCAGCGGGGCCCCGGCCCGGAGCTACCCGGGACCCCGGGACCCCTCCTCACACTCGCCCCGGAGGTCTCCGCTCGCGCCTCTCGGACCCCGACGCCGCCGCCATCTTGCTCCGAGGCCCCCAGAGGCCCCCGGGACGCTGTCGCTAGGGACGCCGGGAAGGGCTGCCCGAAGTGCGCCTGCTTACAATGTCGGCTCCCTCAGAACGGGGGCGGGCGCAGGATCCGAGGTCCAGGACGACAGAAGCTCTAAGGAAAGCGTAATTATCTATTCCTGGTCTCGGGGAGCCTTTCGGCACCGGACTTCCGCGGATACAACCTCATTATCTTCAGCCTCAAGCCCCTGAGGAGCCGGGGCTGTCCAGAGCACGCCTGACTGAAAATGCCCTGGGGGGGGGGGGGGGCGCTGCGTTTATTCGGCCGGGGCTCCGCGCGTTTGCAGTTCGCTACGCGATGATGCCTGCGTGCGCCAACGGGAGGACAAGGAGAGTGTTCCGGACGACCCCCCCCCCCTTTAGGATTCACTTTGTGTTTGTACGTATGTGTGTGCAAACACGAGCGTACCTGATGCTCGCTGCAGGCGGAGAGGGCGTCGGATGCCCTGGAATTGCAGCTACAGAGGGTTGTGAACGACCGTGTGGGTGCTGGGACTCGAACCCAAGTCTTCTGCAGGAACAGCAAGTGCTCTTCACCACGGAGCCAACTCTAGCCGGGGTCTCGGTTGACGCTCATTCACCTGACCGCGAGTGGTATCGGCGGGACGTCCCCTACTCTTTGCAGTGCCGGCATACACGAGACGGGCGCTCTGCCACGGAGGCGCGCTCCGGAAACGTCCTTTTAACTATTTTTTTCGTTCTGTTTTTTTTTTGTTGGGTGGGGGGTGTTTTGAGGGGTGCAGGACTGTACAGCCACAGGCAGAGGCAGGAGGGGCGAATAGCTTCCCACCTTTTTGTTTCTTTTTCTCTTTTATTTTCTTCTGAGATTGTAGCTTTGCGCCTTTCCTGGAACTGTTATTAAAAAGATAATATATGCTGAACCCATACAGGCTTGTCTGTTGACCATTTTAAAGGGAGAGCTGTTGGTGTTTTTGGGAAATTATCAGTTGTTGTGCCCTGTTCTTGTATGACATGGATGGCTGGTGAGCACTCATTAGAATAATATCTTTTAATATTTCTCTCAGAAACATGTACTAATTTATGATTTGTTTCTGAGATTGGAGGGATATTAATCTGAGTATTCCATTGTTGTAACAAGTCTCGACCCCACAGGTTCATAGCTATGTTAGCCATATATGGTTTTAATTTTCCTTTCTGTCCTTCTGGACCTATACATTCAAGCCATCTTGCACTTTGTTTCACTCGAGATAATGTCCCAATTCCTAACAGTTGAACGTTTACCTCCTGAAGAGGCCAAGTTGGATGCCAAAATTCTGGTGCAATTATGGTAATGTCAGCACCTGTGTCTACCAGACCAGACAACAAAACACCATTTATCTTTATTGTTAGTTTTGGTCTTTGTTCATTAATAGAAGTTTGCCAAAAAATTTTCTTTATGTTTTTTCCTATTTTCTCTGTTTCATCATCTCGACCAACATGATTTATTCCAATAGACATTTGGTTATTTACTTGCTTTGACTAGGGGTTTCCTCTACAACTGCAGGAAAGGTTTGAACTGGATTTACTTTGGGGGCCTGCCTGAGGCCCCTCTGGGAGTTTCCCGAAGCTCGAGGCAGAGGATTACCCTGTCTGTCCCTTATTGATCTACATTCGTTGGTTAAAAAAAAAAGAAAGAAAGAAAGAAAGAAAGAAAGAAAGAAAGAAAAGAAAAGAAAAATATAAATACTTTACATTGGATTGGATTGTTTTATATTGTATACAAATTATATATATTGAAATTGATATTGTTAGAAAATGTTATATGTATATTTCTAATTGTACCGTTCATCTAACAATGTAATGCAATTTTCTGATCCTTGAATGTTATTACCAACTATTAGGATATAAAGAAATGAAAGTTAGTAGTTAGACATTATAATAGAACTTGTAGTCATATTAGGTATGTTTTCAAGATTGAGTAGATATATTTTAGATAGACAGGTTATCTTCAAACCCTTCAGAGATCTACAGAATATGGCATTTAAAATGTTTCAATAACTTAGAAAATTTTTCTTTTTTGTTATGACTATGAGACATGTCGGCTCCTGGCAGTACCAATCTACTTCAGAGAAAATATGGGCATTGAAGAAACTGCATATGGAGTTAACTTTCATTGTGGCAAAAGTTAGCCACTGGACAACAAAGTATCCTCGAATCAACTGCTGACAACAGGATAAAATGGACACGAAACAAAGGACTACTGATTCTTGCCAAAACAAGTGTGGTTATGGCTTTATCAAAAGGCATCTTCTGAGGCCAGGACAGTATGGCACCATCCCTGAAGTGGTCTTCGCAATCCGGGAAAGGTACAGTGCCCTTTTCTTCGAAGGCAGCTTAACAGGCAGTGGGCCGATGGCTTCTGATGTGCAATGGGAAGGTAGTTGAAACAGTTATTTTTGAAGAGTAATTAAGCTCACACCGCTCAACAGTAGAATGACATTTAATAGAGGGATGTGGAGAAGAACGTGATGCTGAAATGAAGCCACATACACACATAGCCAAGAAGAATGGACAGCTGAATACAAAAACATCAACAATTTCCAGCATTTAAAATCCTGAATCGGGCTGGAGAGATGGCTCAGAGGTTAAGAACACTGCTTGCTCTTCCAAAGGTCCTGAGTTCAATTCCCAGCAACCACATGGTGGCTCACAACCATCTGTAATGAGATCTGGCGCCCTCTTCTGGCCTGCAGGGATATGTGCAGACAGAACACTGTATACATAATAAATAAATAAATCTTTAAAAAAAAAAAAAAAGAAGAAGAGATTTTAAAAAAAAAAAAAAATAAAATAAAATAAAATCCTGAATCATGACAGGACGCTAGTGGAATTCAGGTGTTTCTGGTTTATAGACTGCTCTCACCCAATGTGAGGTTGAACTGTTGACCTTGTGTACATCCTACTTCACAAATGAGTCTGTCAGATACAATAAGCCTATAGGCTGAAGATGATGCCCCAACACTGCGGAGAAACCTCAGATGACTGTCCAGACAGCTGGCTGTTTCTGTCAACTCACAATTTTTTGGAAGTTGCTTTCATATACTTCCTGTTTTTATTTTTTTGTTAGCTAATATTATTTCCTTCTTGGGTCTCTGAGGGAGTTGAAGATTAGTTAGTTATAGTTGAAGATTTATTAGGATAGAATGTGAATTAGATATAATAGGATAGAATATGGAATTATTTTCTCTGAATTTGTCAAATACAAATGAACTAGACATTGTTTAGGTATTTATTACTTGTATATATTGTATATAGTTATTGTACTTTTGTATATAGTTTTTCTTATATTAGTTATAAGCTTTTTCTTTTTTTTTCCTTTTTATTAAAATAGAAAAGGGGAAATATGGTGATATTTTATTTGTATTAAAATGTTATTTGTATGTTAATAAATAAAGTTGCCCGGGGGTCAGAGCTATTAGCAAGCCATAGGAAAGCAGGGCAGTGGTGGCATACGCTTGTAATCCCAGCACTTGGTAGGCAGAGCTAGGTAAGTCTCTGTGTGTTCAGGGATACAGCCAGTATTGGATACACATGCCTTTAATCTCAATACCAATCATGGAAAACCTGGAGGCTTATACAGGCAGGCCGTGAGGAGGCGGTCATGTGGTTAGGTTTACAACCAATGAGAAGGCAGAACAGAAACTCTATATAAAGACTTTAACACAAGGGTAGCTCTGGTTCGGAGAGGTAGGACCACCGCAGGAGTAAGGGTAAGGTTTTAGCTCTTAGCTCTGACCTCTTGGCTTTCTTCTTTGCATTGGTTCTGTGTTTCTTATTTAATCAGAAGGTTGGTTACATCTACATGGAACTCACTTGGTAGCCCAGGCTGGCCTCGAACTCACAGAGATCCGCCTGCCCCTGCCTCCCGAGTGCTGGGACTAAAGGCGTGCGCCACCGCCGCCCTAAGGCTTCTTACCGAAGTACTTCAGCTGTGCTATCTGACAGTCAAACGTGGAGGATCTGCTTCCCTCAGCCGGCAAGGCTCGGGTTGCATACGAAACGCCTGGCTTTAAACGGGAGCTGGGGTTAGAACTCAGGTCCCCGTCTCCCCAGCCCGTTTTCTGTTTTGCTTTTGATCGAGGTAAGGTCTCGTGTAGCACAGACTGGCCACGGACTTGCCCCATGATACTGCTCTGGAGATAAAAAGGCCACGGGGGCGGGCACCCTAGCAACTGAGCTGCGCCCCCCCCAGCCCCCACCCCTCCACGGACTCCCTCTTTTTGTTAGTTTTGTTTGTTTGTGTGGACAGGATCTGACACTGTAGCCCAGACTGATCTTGAACCTGTGGCAGTTTTCCTAAATGCCGAGATTACAAGCCTGAGCCACCATGACTGCAGGCCATTTTTATTTTTAATCCCTTAATTAATTTGGTGTTTATTGATTTATTTATTTATTTAAACAGAATCTCCTGTGCTCCAGGCTCATTTTAAATTCCATAAAATCCAACTGCCTCAGCTTCCAGGGTCTGAGGATTACAAGCATGAGCCAACACATGATTTTGAAAGGCTATTTCAACACTTATGTCACAAACCATCATTTAAAACATCACACAGATAGAAGTAACCTCGATAAGTACTGATGCATGATGGACATATGTGGAGTGGTCCATGCACAGGGTGGAATATTACACAGCCTTAAAAAGGGAATTCGGGTGGTACGCACCTGTAATCTCAGTACAGTGGAGATAGAGGGGTTCCTTCAAGATCTTCTCAGTTACCTAGAGAATTCAAGGCCAGCCTGGGTTATCAGAAACTGATATTTAAAAATAAACAAATAACGGGTGGGTGGTGGCGCACGCCTTTAATCCCTGCACTTGGGAGGCAGAGGCAGGAGGATCTCTGTGAGTTTGAGGCCAGCCTGGTCTGGTCTACAGAGGGAGATCCAGGACAGACAGAGAAACCCTGTCTGGGGGTGGGGGGGGGAGAAAGAAAAGAAAAAGAAATAAATAAAAGGCACACTCAGAAAGACAACACAGTTCCCCTCCCAGGAGGTGGAGGAGTCACTAAGACAAGGGAGGGTGGCAGGTGCCGGGGCTGGGGCTTGGGATCGTGTCAGACGCAAAGCTTCAGTGTGGGGGGACAGGACGTGGGGAGCACAGCACAGCCCTGTGAATGCGTTGCGTGGTGTAGAAATGAGGTTTAAGTGTATTTACGCACCAACTATAAACAAGGGAGCGGAGCGATGGGAGAGCATAGAGACCGGGTGTAACTTCAGACCCGAAGCCTGACCCTGAGCCCTAGGAGCAGGCGCGGGGTGCTGGGTCAGCAAGAGGGGCGTCCCAGGCCTGGGCTTTTCAGCCTGTGACTGGGGGGGGGACTGCGCCTCAGCCAGGACAACGGGAGCGTGCGCGCCGCAGGGAAAGCTGACGGTTCGTCTCCGAGGACGGGAGTCCTGAGCACCCTCCCAGACACCTCGCCATCTGAGAGTGTGCTTAACGCAAGTCCCATCTCAACCCCCACCAGACTAGCGGTCAAGACCTGGTGTCCCCGGGTACCCAGCCAGACGACGCACAGCGGCGAGGTTGTCCCGTCCAGTCACCGCCGCCGAGTGACCGGACAGGGTGACGCCCTCCTCCGGCCTGGCCTCCGAGCCCACGGGCCTGTGGGCCGCTATGCATATCTTTCTTTGTTTTTTTTAAATGTAGGCTGATCTGAACATTCTTAGTAGTGAAAATGGTTCTGGACTTCCGATCCTCCTGCCTCCACCTGCTCGGGCTGCTAGGAACCCTGTGTATACCACACCCACTCTAGCCACATTCGTGATTGTGAAAAGCACAGGCAGAGGGGAGAACAGCGCAGCACCTCCAGGATGAGTTTTTTCTTTTCTTTCTTTTTTTGTTTTCCAGGCAAGAGATTGGAATCCAGGGACTTGTGGAGGCCAGGCTGGTACTCACCATGGAGCCACGCCCCCATGCCCCTCACTGGGGGATTCTAGGCGGGGCTCCACCCTGACCACGCCCCCAGCCCCTCTCTGGGGATTCTAGGCGGGGCTCCACCCTGACCACGCCCCCAGCCCCTCACTGGGGGATTCTAGGCGGGGCTCCACCCTGACCACGCCCCCAGCCCCTCCCTGGGGATTCTAGGCGGGGCTCCACCCTGACCACGCCCCCATGCCCCTCACTGGGGGATTCTAGGCGGGGCTCCACCCTGACCACGCCCCCAGCCCCTCACTGGGGGATTCTAGGCGGGGCTCCACCCTGACCACGCCCCCAGTCCTCACTGGTGGATTCTAGGCTGGGCTCCACCCTGACCACGCCCCCAGCCCCTCACTGGGGGATTCTAGGCGGGGCTCCACCCTGACCACGCCCCCAGGCCCTCCAAGGGGGATTCTAGGCGGGGCTCCACCCTGACCACGCCCCCAGACCCTCACTGGGGGATTCTAGGCGGGGCTCCACCCTGACCACGCCCCCAGACCCTCACTGGGGGATTCTAGGCGGGGCTCCACCCTGACCACGCCCCCAGACCCTCACTGGGGGATTCTAGGCGGGGCTCCACCCCTGACCACGCCCCCAGCCCCTCACTGGGGGATTCTAGGCGGGGCTCCACCCTGACCACGCCCCCAGACCCTCACTGGGGGATTCTAGGCGGGGCTCCACCCTGACCACGCCCCCAGCCCCTCACTGGGGGATTCTAGGCGGGGCTCCACCCTGACCACGCCCCCAGACCCTCACTGGGGGATTCTAGGCGGGGCTCCACCCTGACCACGTCCCCAGCCCCTCCAAGGGGGAGTCTCAGCAGGGTATCCGTGAAATAAGCCCAGTAAGGGAGATGGCGAGTGTCCCATGAAGCCCTGCCAGTAGATCCTTCGTTGCTTACCAGGGAAATAAACACAGACTTCTACCAAGAACTTAAATATTACTGTTCTCATCAGCATTAATCACAGGAGTCAAATTTTAAACGCAACTCACACTCCGTACATGGATGGATGGATGATAAACACACAGCACAGTCCATCTGCACGCTGGAGTCTTGTTCAGTCCTGAACAGGAGAAAGGCTGACACCTGACAGCCTAGAGCCGCGGTTCTCAACCTCCCCAGTGCTAAGACCCTTTATTTTATTCTATTTTTTAAATTTTTAAATTTTATTTATCTTTTTAGGTATGAGTGCTCTGTTTGCATGTGTCCCTGCAGGCCAGCAGAGGGCACCAGATCCAGATCTCACAGATGGTCGGGAGCCACCTTGTGGTTGCCAGGAATTGAACTCAGGTCCTCTGGAAGAGCAGCCAGGGCTCTAACCACTGAGCCATCTCTCCAGGCCCCTGCCACCACCCTTTAACACAGTCCCTCATGCTGTGGCGACCCCCCAACCATGAAACTGTTTTTGTTGTTACTTCCTAACTAATTCTGTTTGCTGTCGCCGCTGCCTCCCGAATGCTGGTTTAAAGGCGTGGGCCACCACGCCTGGCTAATTTTGCTGCTGTTATGAGTCATAATGTAAATACGGTCTTAGGCGACCCTTGCGAGGGGGTCATTCGACCCCCGAGGGGGTCGCGGCCCACCTGTGGAGGGATCTGGAAAGCATGATGCTCCGTGAGAGAACCAGACACCCAGGCCGAAGTGCGGTATGGGACGCCACAGAAAAGGTCCAGAACTCGGAATGTAGATTGAAGGAGAGTATTCCTGGCGGCTGGGGAGCGGAGCAGAGGGCTTGTTATGGCATAAAACAATGTTCTTGCCGGGCGGCGGTGGCGCACGCCTTTAATCCCAGCACTCGGGAGGCAGAGGCAGGCGGATCTCTGT